TTAAAAATTAAAATTCTTAGGAGGGCATAATATAGAAATTAATTTTCTTATAAATGTATAAATTAAAATTAAAATTAAAATATTTTTATACTACAAGGTTTCATTCATCCTTCTCTCTTTCCTTCCTTTTAATCTGAGACCTATTTCCAGGTTGTTTAGCAATCCAGGTTCTAATTACTTTAGTTCCATAAATATTACAGAATGAATTTTCTTAAAAGACGTGTCTTAATTAATTATGTTGCCATCTAAAGTCCTTTTGTTTTATGCAATGCCATTCGTAAATGCACTCAAACTCGCTGCTTATCTTGCTTATGTGGCCTAACAAGGTGAAAGAGCTTCCCGGTATCTGTTCTTGTTATTACATATTTGCTGCAGCAGGAATCCCTTTCCATTTGGGGGTATATTTTCTTTTACTATTAAAGATGCAAGAAAATGTTGATCTATATTAGGAAAAAAATTTCTTACACTCCAAATAATCTATCTTTTTTTCTTTCTATCTTCTATTTATAGAAGCTTACACTTGTCCATCTTATATTTTGCCCCTAAGTTGCAGGTTGATGGGCCTTCTCCTTTATGGGGCGGTCCGTTTACACCAGACAGGCCTTAATGGAGGCCTGTCATCATTATTTTTGATTAAATACAAATTGGGCCTGAACTATGGACCTCTCGGATGTGAGCAGCCCAATCGGTTGGGTCTATTGGGCTGAGCCTGGTCCGGACCAGGCCCGTTCGTATTTCCCAACTCTTCATCTGCCTCTTTAATTTCGCCGAGCGAGATTAGTGTAAAATGACGACGACAAAGGCTGTGATTGGACCTGACAGCGTGGGGGATGTGTACAGGTGAGTTGGGTGCTTTGGTTTTTGAATTGCCATGATTGTTTTTGACTCCTAACTTCCCCCACATGAAGGCCTTAGACTTCTATAAATTGAAGGTGACTTTGCTCATTTCTCTCTCTTGTCACTATCAAGTACCTCTCTTGCAATCCCCGTACTCCAATCTTCGAGCTTTGCTGCCTTCTTCGTCAAGGTTATTTTTTTTTTAACCTTACACCCTTTTACCATGGGCATTAATGTCAAAGCCCTTCGCCTTCGTTGTAACATTCCCAACAGTGTCACCACCCGTCTTTACTTGGACGATGAGGGTGTCAGCGAAGAGCGAAGTCAGAATTTTAATTCAGAGGGGACACAGTACAAAAAATATATATATAATTTAAATAAGAAGAACCAAAAAATAATAATAATAATAATTACATACTATATACATCATTCTTAAATGCAAAAAGAAGAATGTTAAGAAGTAGGGGGCCAAAAAAAATTAATAAGAAAAAAAAAAAAAAAAAAAAAAAGGGAAGAAAAATGAGAAATTTGAAAGGAAAAAAAAAATAGAGTTTGAGTAAAGAAGGAAAATTTAATTTTTTTTATAAAGGAAATCAAAGGAATATTAAGAGTAAAAGAAAAAAGAAATAAAAATTTAGAAGACAATTTTTAAAATTTAAAATTTAAAATTTTAGGAGGAGCATTATATAAAAAAATTCTTATAAATATACAAATTAAAATAAAAATTACTATATTTTATAATAGGCGGGACTAGGCCAAGGCCAGGAGGGGCATGTGCCCCCTCTGGGTACACACTAGTTTCGTCCCTGGTGCCAACACCGGAAGGGACCTTGAAGATGATGAAATTTCAAACCTTCAATATCCTGCACAACAATAATGGTCCCCACATAAAGTTCAAATCCACAAATAAAATAATTTGGAACTCTAGCATCCTTATAAAAGTGAACCTACATTCATCTATGTTGCTTACCATCCATGCTCATATATATTCCATAACATTCCTCAATTCATTAGCAATTTCTCAAACTCGGATTTCCAAGGCATAAATAACAATTCTAACACATTTATGCATTTTTTGTCCTTTTTTTTGAAAAAAAAAAAAAAAAAAATTCTCATTTCATTCATTGTTTTCTTTTTCTTTTTTTCAATAAGAGTTTTGTGCAATGTTTGGATTCCTTAAACTCTCTAGAAAACCCATGTAGCAAGCTTTAGGTTAATGACTCCCAAACTGGCTGGTTATAGGGCATTAGGTGTTGAGACACCCCAAATAACTTAATTACTCGAGTTAATTAGGCTACGAATCAAAACTAACTTTCAACTTTCTTTTTTCTAAGTTCTCCACCTTTTTACATGAATCATCAATGCTTAATCAGGGCAGCCCTAAGATTCTAAATATTTTGATAGGCCCTAGGAGAACTTTCAAATGTGAGGCCCTTGAGTTTCACACGCACAAAAAAGAATTTTAAGAGTGCGAAATTTTAACACGATGTTTTTAAATTTTATACCTAATATAATTGTGCCCCTATGCATTGTGCATAAGACAATTAACTAATAACTATAAATCTATCACCACCAACAAATAATTGTGCGCATGTACATTGTGCATAAGACAACTAACTAATAAGTATAAATCTATCACCATTAATAAATAATTGTGTGTCTGTGCAGTGTCCTTAAGACAATTAACTAATAACTAAAAATTTTTATTACCACCAATAAATAATTATGCGCATGTACAGCGTGCATAAGACAGCTAATTAATAACAATAAATTTATCAATTAAAGAGTGCGAAATTTTCCCAGGCACAAAATAAAAAATGAAAGAGAACAGAAAATTGTAGCTCCTTTTACATTCATTGTTTATATAGCTACTAAAATTTGATGATTATATATGACAAAAATATGTGGTAATGAGGTATATATATATAGGAGGCTGAACTTGTAGTACTGAAGAAGTAGTGGGACTTTTAGGTTACATGTGTCATCCACCATCATATATAGCTTTCTCTTTCACTCTTTATATTAACTACACTGCACTTTGTGTGTGTGTTTTTTGGAGCCAATTACCCACAGTGATTGATTGATCATTGCTACAGAAGACCTGTGAAAATTAATCGAAAAAACCATTAACTTTTGTTTTGTTAAAGCCTGCTCTTGATTCCCATGTGTTTGTACATTCTGTTGGCAAGTGCTTTGACAGTATTATTAACTGAAATTCTAGCTGAGCCAACTTCAAATAACATCAATAATGGTGGTATGTATCTTCATATAAAAATAAAAAATAAAAAAACCCATAATTTGGCACTTTTAAGTATGAGCTTAGAGATCGAAAAGTTAATTATTATCTCAACCCACTAGAAGGGATCCTTAATTTTCGTGGGATTGAATGTGAAAACGCAAAAAAAAATTATGAGGAGAAGGGGTATGGTTGCTGCTGTTGTGAGATTGAAGTGGACTTGGGGAGAGGGAAAAAAAAAAAAAAGTACCTGCCATAGATTATGGACTCGATCGCCATGAAAGACACATGTAGAAAGGCACACATTTATTAAAATACTAAGAGAACCATAATATATTCATTCAGCTTTTGATAGCCATCACACACAGTGACACACACAAAACCCTAGCTACTTTTCACTATTGGAACAAAGGTAAAGGCCCGAATCAAACGAACAAAGTTGGAACAAATCAAATGATGAGATGAACGAAAGAAAGAAACATATATAAAAGATCGATTCATGCAAAAGGAGAGAGAAGAGAGAAGAGAGAAGAGAGAGAGAGGATGAACATACCTTGTCACCAGAGGAGGAGTGTCGAAGCAGATTGTGTCGTCTGAAACTTGCCCTAACTTATTTTTATTTTTTATTTTTTCCATCCCCTATGGGCCTCAAAATTTGAGGCCCTCTAAAATCTGAGGCCCAGTCAACTTGGTCCAGGGCCGGCCCCGTGCTTAATGAAGCAAAAGTGTCAGTTACTCGGTAAAAAACCAATCTAATTTTGTATACATACCTATCATTATGCCATGGTTCTCGAAATTTCAAAATTTACCAACTCATCTCAGTCAATTACAAAGTAATATCGAGCTTATACCCCCACAGAATGAATGTAAGTGTGCTTTTGAGATGACTGATGAATAGGGATAATATTTCAATTTTGACCAGGTTTGTTTCAGAAATGGGGGATTTTGAGCTTTTTTCCTTCACACATTGGGGTTTTGGTCTGATCATCACAACTGGGTTTCTGTTTTGAAGGCTGAGATATGAATGTCTGATGGGTTGACCTTGATCGGGTCTGAAATTGGGGTTTCTAAGTTTCGTTTATAGTTGCAAGTGTTTCTATTAACATCACGATTCTATTAGTTTTTTCACTCTTTTATAAGCATTTCATAGTTTTCTCTCTTTTTTGTTCTGTGTTTATTGTGGAAGAGTTGATGAAGATGTCTGGTTCTTAGTTTATTTTGAAGTTATTTCCTTCACACATTGGGGTTTTGCTCGCATTGTTACTATAGTTTCTGTTTTGAAAGGCTGAGATATGAATGTATTTTATGTGCTGAGATAGTTAATGTGATTATGATGCTTGTATCATATATATATATATATATATATATACTCAGACACACTAGTCTCTTTTGAGACTTGAACCCTCTTTTGGAAAGGAAGAAATTAATACCTATAGACTACTACCCGTTGGTTATTTTTTATTTTATTTTTTTTTCTAGGTGGGTCAGAAAGTCCAATTGCACCAACATTAAGATAAATAGCAAATGAGGCCAGATCTATGATTGATACGCCCGCCGGTGGATGCTATGAGATACTGCACGGTACTGGCTTTTGTTAATTACAAAAAAAAAAAAAAAAAAAAAAATGAAAGCTTTTTGAATTTTTGCTTTAGAAGTAAAAAGTATATTCGAAGTATCCGGATATGAATGGGAGATTTGAGTGCCTTCACTGACTTCTAATCCACCGTCTTCTTTGATGTCATTGTCTGCAGCACAGAGTCCATAAGAAACCTCTTCACCATTGCTGGCCTCTAAAATAGACACACTTAGAGTAAGGCAGTGGAATGGCACTAGTTGAAGTTCATGCTTTGGCATTATCAACGGATGATTTCACATTGGTAATAAACCCTAAAAAGCAGAGCAGTGAACTGCAGCTCTAAGCAACTACTTTTTAGCTGACTAAAAGAAATTATATTTCACTTTATATAAGCAACTGTACAACCATAGTTCATTGGACTTTCCTGTTCAAACTTTGCAATGCGGGGATGGTTTCTCAATATTTCAAGGGCGCATTCCTTAACAACCCCAGTGCCCATGCCATGTATTATAAACATAACTGACTTAGACCCTCTTGCAGCGATAGCCATGTTGAGGTGGTGAGAAGCTTCCTCCACTCGCATGCCACGTAAATCCACCGTGTTCTTTGATGTCTGCAGCACAAGTCCATAAGAAACCTCTTCACCATTGCTGGCCTCTAAATAGTCCCTCAGTTTTCTGCTTTGCTGGCCCTGTAAAATTAAAAACAAGTTTGATCGTTTTATCATTTTTTTTATTCAATTAAATACAATGATTCAAACAGATTGCCAACTACCAGCTATTTAAGCCCAATCCTTGATTCTATGAAATGGTGAGACGATTGATAAGATGGCCATATTTTACATCAAAGACACATATCAACTGAAAATGTCTAATCTGCATCAATCAAATCCCCAAGGAGTAGGTATTCTGGCTAGCTGCCGACATGGTATGGAAATGATTGTGTGGAATTAAGACAATACACAACTCAAGCACCATCATGCAAACATTGTTATGTGTGTGTAGATTATTTTCTGTGATAATGCTCGGTTAACTACTGTTCTCATTTAAAGGGTCAAGCACAAGATGCAAAACAATAATATGTTATCCTATAATAAAAGTGAAATTTATTCCCTAACTTTTGAATGGCAAAAGTGCCCCTAGCAATTTACAGATTTTGGTTCAAGTCCAAGAAAAAAAAATCAACTTGACACATATAAACCATTTATGTGTGCATACAATCATAACTTTAGCATAAAAAGTAATCTCTCAGATAAAAACCTCTAATCAATACCTTGGCTCAAGAACTAAATATTACCCTTAACATATGACCACCTCTTAAATCAACAAAGAAAGTTTGACCCTAACTCTTGATTGAACAAAATTGCTCTTATTATTTCACGTATTCTCAATTAAAATTTCTTATTCGGTTTTAATTTTGTAGATTAGACCAAGTCGCAGATAAGGATTAGGACCTTGGAGAGCTGTGAATGAGTGAGAGTCAAGGCAACTACCAAGGATCGGTGAAGAACCAAGAGGCAGCCAGTCTCTTGTTCCTCCAAGAAGACTGATTCCTTTGATTAAGGGACATCCCCTTTCTATAGGAGAAGAGGCACGTGCCGACAACTATATTACCATGAATCATGGTAAATGTTCCAAATGTCTTTCATCAAGGTATTTGATCATTATGTAAGATGAGGAACCTTAATGTATACACGGATTTTACTTGGAACTCTCAAAACACTTACTGGGTACTCATATTGCATCTTGGAGAACCCTCAAGCCAACCAAACCACATAATCCCATCCCAAGATTCCAGGAACCAAAAAGTTTGGGCCATGAAGTAATCATAGCTAACTCATGACATAGTGGTCATTACCATGGCTTTTACTTGAAGAATCCTCAAAACACCTATTGGGCACTCATATTGTGTTTTCAAGAACCCTTACACCACCAAAACCACACAACCCCAAGATTTCCAGAACAAGGTAAGGCCACAAAGAAATCATAGACTCCCTCACAACATAGAGGTCATTACATGCATGCACCGACACCATGACGCATGGACTACACAATGAAATGAATAGATTACATGCAATTCACTTGGACCATATAATACACTGGCCTGTGACACAATTGCATAACCACAAATTAATATCGTATAACATGCCATAGTCATTGGATGATTTACTTGCGTCTTACAGATATAAAATTATGACGGGCCCACACCAAGGACGAGGCAGTTATAAAGTGATCCTGGGTTATACCATGGTCTGTGTCCTCACCAATCACCATAACCAAAGGATCATTATCATTTTATTGTGATACGCCAATGGCATACCATAAAATAATCAAGTTCTCCGCGTACTGCAGTAATGATAAATGTGCCAAAGAACATATAAATTTATCATACCACAACAAAATGCAGTACATACCTTCCTTTTCAAGAGTGAGTTAGAACTTGTTGCAGCATTTTTTTGGCTATTTGGAAGACATATGATACTGCTCTTATTCACTCGGACCCTGATTTTTCCGTATTGGACAAGGACATTGTCATCATCTGCAGGTACTTCTACTACAGTAGCCAACTTACTTCCTAATCCCTTTACATGAACTTGCTCACCAAGCTGTGGTGTATAAGAGTGGACATCTGCATCTTTAACAGAGAAACCATCAGTAGGGCAATGAGTTTCAACAATGGATGCAATTGCAGACTCTGCTTTCTTGACAAGTGAATTGAACTGATCAGCTCTTGCAGATCTAAGCTGATTCTCAAACTCCAGAATTATTGTTTCTATCTGAGATTTAGCAGTCCTTAATTCTCGTTCAACCTGTCGGGTTTCCTTAGCCTTAAGAGCTACCTCACGCCCATCAAGATCTTCTGCCTCATCTCGGATCTTCATTTAAACAAAAGAAAAAAGGAAGTCAACAAAATAATAAGATGTCATTACATAAAGGAAATTACGGTCTACGTGCTGCAATCAAGCAACCTCAATGACAATAAATTTTACATTAAATAAAAATGTTAAATGTACATAATATAACTTATAACTGATAAAAGTGTAGTTTTGTTAGGAGAATACAAAATGATTCCCTGTAGGCCTGTGTGTCACAGTAATATGGCATAAAAGCACTAAATTTCTGTAAAATCCATTCATGATAATTTCAAGAATCATGACCATGACCATAACTGAACCACAGGCTCCCTAAAAAATTGCCATAAACTGGCAATTATTGGGGGGATGACATTCTGGTTGCAATACAAGCTTCAATCCCTAAGTTAATAATATAACAGTAAATCCCTCAAAGAGGACACTTAAAAGTCAAGGAAGCTTGATAACCACTCTTCTAAACAAAGACCTTACAAACAGTCACACAGCACTGAAAATTAGCTGAAAGTGAGTCAGTTCAAATACTAAATTGACCCTATGCTACATATTTAACACAACTCAACTAAGTTCAATCCCAATTCTTAGGTTGTCCAACGTGCTTTTCATATTAAGTAAAATGAAGTGTCAACAAAATACCTACGAGGAAAAAATTATTATGAGAACTTTACACTTCAGATGAACCTTCAGAACCATACCTCATGATAGATATTCATAATCTCCGAATAAAGGGATGCAGCTCGCTTTGCCTGAGATTCTAATTTGTTTCTTTCTTCCATTAACGACTGATATAGCAAACCTTTCCGCTTCCGCTGCTTTTCTGGCATCAACCTCTCAACCCATATTTGTGCCCGTTCAATTATTTTTTCATCAAAGCCAATTGATTTGGCAATAGTCAAGGCATTTGAGTCACCCATGCTTCCCCAAAGTATCTTATAGGTAGGTTGTAGAGTCTCCAGAGAAAATTCCATTGCTGCATTTTCAAATAGGGTGTCCTTTTCTTTCAGGCGAGATAAATCAGAATAATGGGTAGTCACCACAGCTAAGTAAACTCTATCTTTGAAATACTGCAAGATGCTAGCTGAAAGCGCCACACCTTCAGAAGGATCAGTCCCACTTCCAATTTCATCAATAAGGACAAGCGATTCTTTTGAGGCTACTTCCAAAATCTTACAAAGCCGTGATATGTGCCCACTAAAAGTTGAGAGACTTTGTTCTAGAGACTTCAATTGAAAAATATGAAGTTCAGAATAACATGAAACAGTTTTTACCAAACAGAAACAGAGAACTAAAAAGAAAACCAGAACACACACAAACACATACATGCATATATATATGTGTGTGTGTGTGTAGAGAGAGAGAGAGAGAGAGAGAGAGAGGTATTACCTGGTGATCTCCAATATCTGCAAGAACAAGATCAAACCATGGAACCCTTGGTTGGTTTTTTGTAGGCAAATACATACCAGCCTTCGACATAACAGATGCCAAGCCCAGCGTTTTCATGGATGCAGTTTTGCCTCCCGTATTAGGTCCTGAGATCACAACTATTCTGGTTTGACATCCAATTTTGATGTCAATGGGCACAGGAAAATCCGATTCGCCCGATAATACTTCAGAATTTATCACCCCTTTTCTCTCATCCAAGGCAACTGCACTCCTAGATTTAGATGAACCAAGATCTGACAGACTCCTCAGAGAGATCTCAAGAAGCAGTGGATGTTGTATTCCTTCGATGTCTACTGATAAAGAATGATCAGTTCTTTTAGATTTAAAACTCTTACAACTCTCTGAACTTAAAACTGGACAGACCCCATTAATCCATTGAGCATGACCAGCTCTGGCAAAAGCCAAGTCAAGTTCAATAATTCTATCCAACAAATACTTGATATCTATTTTTGCTTCTGCAATTCCCGATGTAAGCATGCTCAAAATGGCTTGTTCCTCAGCCTTCTCGGAGTTTGAAAGCCTCACTTCCATGTTATTCAACTCCACTGCCTCTCTAGGTTCCATAAAGTATGTTGCTCCAGAACTGCTTACATTTAGGACTACACCATCTGGAAGCAAAGATTTGTGGGAAGCCCTAATACCAACACACATCCTTGATCGGCGATTGGTTATCAATGGTCTGTCAATGCCACCATCTTGAAATATTCGAGCTGATACTCTCTTCAACAGAGAATCTAGATTTCCCATGTTCCTCTTTCTTTCAGACCTAATAATCTCCAAGTCCTCACTGGCTCTATCAAGGATTTTTGAAAAATTACAATCTATACAACATCCTATTTTTTGCTCCAACTCCACCAGGAAATTACAATTCTGGAGGATTTCAAACAGCGAAGAGTACCTGTTAGAATATAGACAACCTAATGAAACTGCCCATATTTTTAACTAAATTAGATTTTAATGCAGCAGTTCAGTCATGCTAAAGGAAACAAAAACTGAAAACTGGATTCCAAATGTGGCAATCCTTCAAAAACAATTTTTATTTTTGCACATTCTTACTGAGACACCAGGACGGTCGATTTTCATTAGATAATGTATGCTTCCCCCAGATTACGTCAACTGCCAAACAAAAAAGAAGACCTAAGACATGCTCGGATAAAGAACTCTTACACAGAGAAATAATTCAAAAAACAGCTTTTGAAGCCTGAAACATTTTCATCTTACATATCTTGAACCATGTTAAATTAGAAAGCCGACAGTCTTAAACTCTTAAGACATCCAGAGAAGGCGCCAACAACTCAGAAACTTTTTGGTAAAGTTTTGGACATCCATTTCCGAAATGGGAAGTGCTCATAACTCATTTTGCAGGCATTTTTCAACTTGTAAGCTTGAAAATCAGTTAACAAATCGAAAATTTTCAATTCCAGAACCAAACTGCGTAATACAGTAATACACATAAATACACAGAGATTTACGTATATATATATATATATCGAAGTGTATGTAATACAAACTCAATGCAAGTAACAACAGATTCGTATTACCTTTCATAACAATCACCATTCAAAGAAGCCTCTTTCAACTGCTCGTACAAAGTTCTCGCCGACTTCAGTGTTCGCTTCACCGCGCAAAGCTCTCCAATCGTGACCAATTCACCGGAGACAGAAGAATTCACGATCTCCGATACGTCCTCGATTCCTGTAAAATCCAACTGCTGAGGAAGGGCCATCGCGGCGGTGGTTTGGTCCAGAAGCTTCCGGCTCTCCTCCAGGCTTCGGCCTAGCCGAAGCCGACCACCTTGAGCGGCGGCGAAGCCCATGGTGGTGGAAGTGAAGGAGGAGACTTGTTTGCAAACGGAGGGCCATTCCAGGGTTTTCAAGGTCTCGTTGTGGAGAGTCTCTGAGAGACTGACTCGGTGCGTCGACTCGGGAGTGGCGGACAGAGAAATGGGTGTTTTGATGGATCGGTGATTGAGTATAAGGTGGTAATTTGGAGGTGTTTTGATGATTGTGAAGCTTTTCCAGAGCTCCATTGCAGTAGATGAAATTTTAATTTACAACGTTTCTGGCTTTTCTATACCGTATACTGTTGTGCTAAAAAAAAAAGTATTATGTATTGTTATCTTATCCGGTTAATTTCCTCCTTTTATATGGTTGTGTACGATTTTATTTAATTTTTTTATAAAAAAAAAAAATTATTTATTTTTTTAAAAAGTAAGTAAAAAAAATAAAAAATCTATGAAACATATTTTTCTGAACTATTTCCCCAACGTCCTGTTTATCTCTTTGGACTAATCCAATCAGTGTAGTGTTCACTAAAATATATATATATATATATATATTAGAATTTAGAAACTTCGAGCCTATTGAGAGATTTTCCAAGCATATATTGTGCATTGTTTTAAGATTTTTTCTCCATGAATTCTGTTTTTGATGATTAATAGGATGGTTTTCTTAATATCTTATAAATTCAGAGTGTTCGAATATTATCACGTGAAACTTTGTTCAATATTTGATTTTTATTATTGTTTCATATCAAATTCTTCTTTGGTACTGTGATCGAATCAATTGAGAATTTTAATATAAAGTTTAATGTTACCTTGATTTGGCTAAAGACATCCGACCAAATGGAACAATTCATCCTCGTCATTCCATTCTAGCAAATCTGAACTTATATTTATGTTGTTTGGACTTATATAAGTCTTCTGAGATTTAGAATTAGTTTCATCGTGATTTTCACAAAATCTACACCACCATTAGTAAACTATTTGAAATGGTCAACTGAATTAACTAGTCTTCTTAGGCCATCAGAAAAGAAAAGAAAAAAAAAATTAAAAATTCAAATTACGTATTATAAGAATTATAAAACATTCTTCATTGCTATCAGGACCAGTTCAGAATTATAATATCATAGCGTGGCAATCAAATTATGTAATACAAGAAAATGTGATAATGAAATTCCATTTATCAGTAGACAATAACCTCCTGAATCACAAGGGAAATTATCATATATAGTTAGCATATATATATATATATACACACCTTAACATCGCTACGATAATACAAATATCATATATATATATATATACACACACACACACCTTAACATCGCTACAATGATACAAATATCATAAGAGATTAAAAAAACAAAAAATAAATTATCAACCCAACTATCATACCAAGTATCTTAGAAACAAAGCAGCCATAAGTTTTTGTTATTTTTTATTTATTTTTTTATCATTAAATCGACATAGAGGCAAAAATATCATTTAACCCAACTATCCCACTGAGGACTTCTACAAATTAGTAGTTCGTTATTGTCTTCTTAAATATGTACAACCAGGACAAGTTTTCCTATATATATATATATATATATATATATATATATATCCAAAAATGCTCTTATGACTCAACTGTTTGATCCAAGAGAGTGATCAAATGTTCTGCTGTATTGCATCTGCCACCTTAACTTTAACCTGATTCAGCAATGAAGAGCAGTTTCAGACATTATCATAAAGCAGACAACTGAAAATTTGAAGCACAAATAAAGGACAAAATAATTAAGTCGAATTTCAAAGATATCATGAGAGCTACCTGCAACTTCAATTCTTCATGTTGCGAGGATTGGAACACCACAGGCATCAGGAGCGTGCTTCCCCTCTTTGAAGACAAGGTTTCCTCTAAGAAAAGTTGCCAAAACTTTACCAGATATTCTTGAACCCAAGTATGCAGAGTTACTCTATACAGAAAAATTGGAACATTTTAAAAGCTAGGTGATGACATTCGAAACTTTAAAAACAAGAAGTGGAGAAAGCGAATGAATGAGTTCAATTGCAAAAACATTAAGAGATATAAAACGAACGCATACAGGATGCTTAATGTATACAGGATGATCCTCATTCAGGTCAAACTCGGCTTCTGGGTCCCATACAACAATATCTGCATGGTTTCCAATTGCAATAGTCCCCTGCACAGGTTCATTATACCATGGTTATTAACCACCTAAAAACATAAAATTTGGAATCATGCACAAACTTCAAGTGAGCTTTCAGTAAGTCAGCCTAAATTAAATACTTATTTCATATGCTAAACTCTAGTTCTCATATCTGCACATGATGATTCAGCGAGCCAAACCAATCTTGAAACAGAGATTAGTTTCAAGGATTATCTGTCGGCTTTAATGTAGCAATTTCAGTTAATGGTGCAATTCAGATTGATTACTAACTATAATAAATATGATAGCTTCCGGGACTTCTTTAGGTCAGTGTTTGAACTTTGAACTATTTATGTTGCATGGTGGTGGCTAAGGAAAAATGGAGTAAATAAATTCGAAAGTTTCATAAAGAAGGAATTGCTACTTGCACCATTCATGTCATGTCAAATGGTAGTGGTTAAAACGAAAGAATTTTGTTAGTCTTGTAGAGATGAAAATGCTGCTTCAATAAGTCATTTCTTTTTGTGATGCTAAATCAACCCGATGAAGTTGGAAGAGCACTGATTGATTTTGGTGGATAAAATAACACAAAAACAACTGAGAGCATTACCTTCAAATCTTGGCCAGCAAGTTTGGCAGGCTTCTCACTCCACCATGAAGTTAACTGTTCCAAAGTGATTCCATATTTACGCCCATATGACCATGTCACAGGGAGAACAAACTGCAGAGACTCGAGAAAGAATAGCAATTAGTCTTTGGAACAAGTGAGAGAAAAAATCACATCAAGAGAAATATGAAGATAGTATGACTGACGTTTTAGAATGAAGTTATTCCTACAATTTATTCCATCATTTCACATAGATTGAATGCCACAATAGAACTTATGGACACTCATGTCAAATCAATATTGAATTTAAAGCCTCAAAGAATGCACCTCATTGCTCGCAGTTTATCATACTTCAATACTATAAAACTCGAGTTCAGATTTTCTCAAATGCAAGGCATGATGCATAGCAGCATAGCATGATTTATACCACATATAATAAGATTCTACATTGAATTTGAGTCTTAATTATATTTAGTATAATTTAATCTTCTAATGATCAAATTTATTTATTTATATTTTGGTAAATTATTAATATGCTAGACGTTAACTATAACAATCGTCCCTACATAGTATTTTGGGTCAACTTATGTTATTACATCTTCGCGTATAGTCTTTTATTGGGCATAGAATAGTCCTACTTACTGGAGTCAACAGTATAGAGTTTTTAGAGTCATAGTAAAGAGATAGCATTATCCATATAATCTTTTAATAGAATGTAGTAATGAGAATTTGAAGTTGTATTTGTGTGATGTGTTTTAATCCTTTGAGGATGATTGATAAGATTTTATTCGAGATGCTCAGATTATTTTCTTCTTCACTCTGGTTACTAATTAAAAGTTGTTCTATTGCTTTTGTGTATCATAAATTATGCTGCTTTAGAAAGAATTGTCGATGAGGCAAATCCACTATTTGAATGAAGCAGCTTTGGGAAGGTGACTGCACAAGCACGAAGTTGCATAAAGCATTCTAAGGAGGTCTCAGATCTTCAGTATCATGATAGCTAATCCAAAAATATACTCTTAAGGAGTTTGTCTCCTTACTGAAAAAAATATCATTAGCACATAAATCACCAAACTTATACTAACAGTGGCAAAATTCATATTAAAAATAAAAAACTTCTACTTATAATGAATGGAAAGCTTTTGCAGAAGATATATTATAATATTGGAAACAGGTTGTCGTATATACCAACAGTTAAGTGCACAAACCTGCAGAGAAGATATGCCGCCCCATGCCTTCAAAAAATTACCTTCGTCGAGGAGTTTGAGTTCTGGCACAGTTGGTGAATGATCAGAGCTTAACATGTCAATTTGTCCATCCTGAAATATAGTATATAAATTGAGTAAACCCAAATGATGGTAGAATGAGAAATGCCAAAGACAATATGCAATATCATAGAATTGAAAATACCATCAAAGCCTCCCACAGTCTTTCTTTATTGGCTGAATCACGGATTGGAGGAGAACACTTAAAACGAGTATCTCCATCTTTAATTTCTTCTGCTGAGAAGGCTAAGTAATGGGGACAAGTTTCAACAGTAATGCTATCGCCACTACTTTTTGCTTCCTGAACAGAACATATAAACGAGGATATATCTTTTAGCTCTTCATAAAATGTATTGTTAAAAAAATTTCCATAGAAAAGAAATGGAATTAAAATTGACTACGAAAGCATGTGTTAGTGAAAATAATGGGTTGTGGGAAACATAAGTTGATTAATCTGCTTAAATACGATGCATGCATAGATGTCGACTCTCCCTAAGGTCATTTAGATCCTAATCATGTTTGACGACTAATGTGGAGCTCACATGGATCAACTTTCAGAAGTATCTACAAAGATGCACTTATCACCAAAAAAAGTAATCCAATAGTGGTAGTTTGTAATTTCTATTACTTAATATATACATACCATAGGAAACTATGAATTACCTTAATAAGATCTAAAGAAGTTTTTGCATCAGACAGATGAACAACATGAAGATGAGCTCCCTCAGCGGGACCACCAGTTCTCGTGTCTTTTGATACTGTTAAGAGCTCTCTAATAGCTGCTTCTTCCCTAAATATAGAAGAAATGGGTGAATAAAGAATATCAAATGCCAAATATTAAGTCTTTATAGTGTATTACCATGTCCTATATCCGCACTGACAAGGCTTTACTTACTACGTGACCATATATATACAGATAACAAAGTGCACATATAAGTTGCATGAGTTTCAAAAGTCCACATAAATTTTGAGGAAGGGGAGGCAAGAGCAATATGGTACCATGAAGCAGGCCTAGACTTGAGATATGTTGAATACGACCGAGCGTCAAGGTCCAAGTATCCTTCGTGTTCTTGTTGTTTCTCTGCATGTACAAGTAAAGGTCTTCTGTACTTGGCCAATATAGACAGTCCTTCCTGCAGGAGAATAAATAAATCAGCTTTGCAAGAAAAAGGTATTTTCAGTGCAAAAACATGACACCAGTCAAATTGTTCATGTGATTAGAAAAATGAATCTGCATCCAAATAAAAAGTATATTGCAGGAGGCCATCCCACACAAATATGTGTATGTGCGTGTACGCATATCAAGTCATGGGAAAATCTGTTATTGAGACAACACTTTGTAAATGCATGTGATCAACTCTTAAGATGTAATTCAGGGGGAAAAAACGTTGAAGATGTTATAGCAACTCTAATTCATTTTACAAGGAATATCAGATGATTTAGATTAATCATCTTCATACCTTGATATGGCTCGCATTTGTCATGGGAAAGTCGTTGATCCCTGAAGGACACATAAAAGACTACAGAAAGAACAATCAACTGTCAGTATACCAATTTTTAAGGAACACTGTTCAAGATTAACGGCAATCAGTAAATAGAAATAAAGTAACAATCTTCATATAGTTTTTGGATTACAGAAAAGGTTTCATCAAAAAGCCAAAATGTTTACAGAAAAATTTATATCATCATCATCATCCTTGCCTTAAAATCCCGTATAAATGGGATCAGCAAAAATTATATATACTGCTGAAAATTTTTCAGGACATATTGATCCATAAGTCCATCAAGCGTAGAGTATTGTTCAAGGGGGTTGCACAACAGGTCATTTATTGCTTAAATTGACATGTTTATGTAGATATCATAGAAAAGTAATTTAAAACCTCCCTCAATTAGATGTATACCTTCAAACCAAGAGCACCAGCCTTTAGAAGATCCTCTAGAGCACTTGAATTAAATGCATTTTCAGGGACTAGACCTCCCCAGAAACCTGCAAATTATGGAATTTAGAAACAGTAGATTCTAAAATTATAATTATCTTTAGTCCCGAGTGCATATGACATACCAACATCAACATAAATCCTCCTTTCAGCAGCCTCGATCTGTCATGCAGGTGTCCAAAAGATTATCAGAAAAAGGCACTAGCATATCATGCTTTACTACAGCTGCTAGGATTATATTTATAAGCATGCATAAATTTGGACAAGTAAAATAGTGAATTAGTAATATAAAATAGGAAGTTGTCAGGAGCTTGCTCCCTGAGTGTTTAGCAGTGTAAGGGAGAATAGACTCGAATTGATTTTCGACTTGCTCCATTTGCCATTGTCAAAAACTTCCTTTTCAGGAGAGTACCATTCAAATGACGATGCAAATATCAAGGAGACTAGAATGATGATGACGGAGAAAAGATCTCTAGAAATGATTAATAGAAATCAGAGCCCTAAGCAGAAGGCAGAAGAGGAACTAACCATAAGTCAACCCTCCATACCTTGAGTTTAAGAGTTTCTTTGGAAACTGTAGAAGGGAAACTATTAAGAGGCATGTCAATTAATGTTGTTATCCCACCTATATAAACACAATAAAATATATACTTGTTAAGCAGTGCATTTAAAACACCAGATACAAATTGATTTTAGAAAGTCAAATGGTCAGATATTGCATCTAAAAGAACATGAACCAGCGAATGGAAGCAAAATGAACTAAACAAGTAAAAATATTGCCAATTCATTCCATAGATAACCCAATGCATCAGGATTTCTAAAGCAGTAGACATGTTCCTCAGCGTTTCTCCCCCTCACATGATTTAAAGCATTAGCTTAAGAATAATCTATATATTAATACTTCTTCCGAAGAAGATTGGTAGAGAATTATATATTATACATTCATCACAAAGAAAATGATTTTATTCTTTCACAAGTACCCATAAAGTACCAAGATCTACATACCAGCAGCTGCTGCTTTAGTCCCTGAAGGAAACCCTTCCCATTCTGCTCTTCCAGGATCGTCAAGATGTGCATGCCTGCCACAAATGTACCATATTTTGTTCATTTACATGGGCAAAAAGTTACATATCATGAAATTAGAATACCGGACAAGGAAATCTGAGGAATGTTTCCCCCTTATTAATACCTCTGGAAGTACTGGAACTTTTTATTCCAAACGAAATTCTATTAATTGTAAAAATAAGAATTCAAGACTATACACATTTTTTTTTTTAATACATGTTCATATATATGTTTCCTGTATTTCATTGATGTTTAATTTGTGACCTAGTGACTTCATATACTAAGAAGAAATTGCAGCCTCTCATTTCAACATACACTGTTCATAATTCTTTTATGGGCAATCGCCTCAAAAGAAGTGAACCAATTGGCAGGTATGTGGTAGGAAGAAACCAAAATATGCATCTAATCCAAAAAAGTGAAATAAAAATAAGCCTAGATTTAACATCAAACATGTATACCACATGAGCTCGCATTTCGTGGAAATCATAAACAAGTTTTCCTTGCACCATACATGCACAATATGAATAAGAACATGAGGAGGTACACTGGAATGTACAATGCAGAAAACTTCTAAAGCACAACGACATGTCTAAAAAAGCCCTTCTAAGGCCAGGGGAAAACATTTTTACAATGAAGCAGCACTCTCACACACTTACTGCAGCAGTTTAAATCTGATTCCCACTGCATTTCCTCATCTTTGAAATTTCTTATATGTTAATGTTTCTCACAATCTGTATAAAAACCATTAGTTTCACCTAGTTGTTCTTACCCAATTTTCACCATCTCTCTACAATTGAATATATATATATATATATGTATGTATATATATTTACAAGAAGATAATACGAGAAGATAGTTGCCACATCTTACACATCAATCAAACCAGGCATGACAACAGCATCCCCATAATCAATCACTTCTCCGCTGTTGAAATTCCCCTGCCAATCCTTTTCTTCAACCATGGATACAATGTTCCTTCCCTTTATCTCAACTGCTTATTTCCACATTTAATAAAATAAAATAAAAAAAATGATCAGCCGTACTTGGAAAATATTAGTCCTAAAAGTGGTATAAACTAGAACAATGAAATGGAATATCAAATACCAGGAAATGTAAATTTATTGAGTACAGATATATAGCCAAGAATAAACAGATAAAACACCTCATGCAACAAATAAACAATATTATTTTATAAATAAAGTAATAATAATCACTAACTCGTTCATCTACTATAACTGTTTCTCAAAATTAAAGAAGTTTATGAAAATCAAAGATGTATAGTCCTACAAGTTTTGCATTTGAACTACATAATCACTTCTTAAACAGACCTGATCCAGAAATGATCCCCTCTGGTGTCACAATTCGCTTACTTCTTATCCAATAATGGTTCTGAGGAATAAGGCTACACCCACTTTGAGATGGCTGTGACACAATTAAATTTTTTAGCATAATGTTTACATAGTGAAATTATTCAAATTGCAAGACTAAAATTGTGATTATAAACAGGGTGTTGATACCATCTAGAACCAGAGCAGTGCAAGTGAAATAGTGACTCGTGTGACCAAATTACTCCTAAAAAAAGAAGCAGCTAATGCATATGTGTGCGTGTGTTTGTTGTCCAATTACCAACAGCACAAACTAAAATGATAACTGTGATCCACAGAGTGTTCATGTTTATAAGATATATAGATACAAGTAATGAAGCATTAACATGGAATGAAGTGATAAGAAATCATTTTTAAAAATTAAATATAGTAGAAGATACTTATGATAGAAAAGGGTGGAAAAATTGAATCCATGTGGGCAACCCCGTTTGTACAGGATTAAGGTAAAGAATGATAATGAGATTAATATAGTTGTTCTTCCACTCCTGTAGCGACAACTTTCACTTAAAAAGATTGACACCCAACATAGGTTGATCAATTTAAAAGTGTTCAAGCAATCATAATTGATGAGCTTCAACCATCTGATTCCTATCTGTATGCCATAGAAATAAATTATATTTTATTGAAGATCATCAATTTTAATTCGTTTTTGACACAGTTGATGTTAAATTGAACCCATTACATACTTGGTTCCAAGCCAGAAAAGGTTATCAAATGACTTGGATAATGAATTTTCTGTTCTTTTTAGTGCTGACCGGGATAAATCTGCAGAGGTAGTGCCAACTGCTTTGTCCTTTTCTTTCTTGTCAGCGTCCAAAACTCCATTCCAAGTGTAGAAGCAAATGAAGTCAGTTAAGATTTCTGTTTCTAAACACTCATTAATATATAGCTGTCAACCGAAACCTGATACTGATTGTAATTATCAATTTGTCATCAAAGACATGCATATATGTATACACACATATATATTAGATATATATACAATATACACACAATATATATATACACACATATACATACATAGGGTAATATATGAATTATCTTAACAGATTGATGATGACATAAAATCTGAAAATTGAAACAAGAACATTATCTGTGCAATAAGAGCAGTAATCACACGAAACTTAAAAAGATAAAAAAAAAATTCAAATATGATTACAATAAAAAGAAGAAAGTAATTAGTAACACATAGGTAGGGAATTATGAGAATCAAACCTCCTTTGAAGAGCTCCGATAGTAAACGAGTAAAAAAGATGCAAGCAGTGGTAGCAAAGTTAGAAGCCTCCATTTCAACTCATCCATCTCTGCCACCACTCTCTCCTCTCCCTCTGCTGTTTCTGTCTCTCTTATATGTAAAGGAACCAATAGGGGGCCACTCCATCTTCTGTGGAAGCGACAAGTTAGAGGCCTAACCGAAGGGCCTGCGGCCCAATGGTAATAGTCACGGACTCACGGGGACAAATTAGGGAGTTTAAGTAAAAAATTAATAAATAAAAATTGAGGACAGGAGATTGCACTACCGCGGGTTAAACTGATGAATCACCCACCAATGGAATGATTCTGACCTAAATCATATAAAATGGGAGTGGAAGCGAATTCAAGAGCGGGAGTATAAGAGTGACAAAATTAAGTCATAAAAGTAAGAATTTGAGTTAGAATATGTGCGAAACGTGATAGCGAGAACACGGTCAGAACATGAAAGCGACACCTCTTGAAAAGGATTGTGTAACTTAGATTCTGACTTAACATTTTACTTTATTGGATGGAGACGGAGGAGATGGAGTATCAATAATAAATTTTGTTACCATAATAATAATGTGAAATTCTCAATTAATAATAGTATTTTACATTATTTTAGTATGCCTAATTTAAAAGTGTTGTTTGATTAGTTTAATTCTTAATAATAAAACACATATTCAATTAACTGAGTTTGACAATAGAATAAAATTTTAAGTTATAAAAACAATACTGAATACTAAAAATTTTAAAAATATATTTATTTTTATTTTTATTACTTAAAAACTTTAATACTTAAAATTTAATTTTTACTATTTAATTTTCAATTTTATCAAATAACACCCATCAAAATGAATTTTGTGGAGAGAATTTTAATTTCCAATGGGTCAGAGTATACAAAGTGATTACTAATTTACTTTTCGAAAAAAAAAAAAAAAAAAGTGATTGCTATTTTGTAATTCAAAGTTCACTCGACACGTGTTATGCCATAATTTGAGGGTGACTTAGTTACGTACCACCAAGTGGATTTGATCATCGTTAGCCTCTTGCTTTTATCGGTAGAAAATTAATAAATCCACGTTTGGATCCGTTGAATTGACAGTGTGGGCTTTTGCTGGTAGGTTTTGTTGCATCACCACTCGCATTTTTTGGGAAGTGGTGTGGTATCATCCTATCATTAGGGTTACAAGTTGGGCGGGTCTAATCCAGTCCAGTCCTAACCCAACCTCAATCCGAATCGGGTTGGGTTGGACTAACCCAAATTATACTTAACATGAGTTATAGTCAAAACCCAACCCGAATATTTTTGGACCGGTCGGGTCGGGTTGACGGGTTGAGTTTAAAAAAATTTATTTATATTTTTTTTTGGAAAATATATATATATTATATAGATATATATCTATATATTATTAAAAAACAAAAAAATTTTAGGGCAAATCATTTCAGCCTCCCCTGTCTCATTCTCAACTCTCTCTCTCTCTCTGCAACTTCAAAGTACAAAATCTACAAGAATCAGAAGTTCAAAACCCATATATTTCAAATCTGTCTGCAAGAATCAAAAGTTCAAAATCCATATATTTCAGATCATTTCAGATTGTTCAAAAAATCAAAACCCATATGTTTCAGTTTCCATCGCCGGCTGTTCCAGTTCGGGCCGTTCGCAAGCTTCAGCCGTCTCAAGCTTGCCCCCCTCTCTCTCTGCAACTGCTAACTTGTATGTATGGGTTTTATTTTTATTTTTGGAAGTGGCGGCGGCGGATCGGCTGAGGACGGCGGCAGAGAGAGAGAGAAAGAGAAAGAGAAAGAAAAAGAAGAGAAAAGAGAAAAAAAAAAAAATTTCGAGCAGAGAGAGAAAGAGAAAGAAGAAAGAAGAAAGAGAAAGAGAAAGAGAAAGAGAAAGAAGATAGGAGAGAGAGAAGAGAAAAAAAAAAAAAAAAATTCGGGCAGAAAGAAGAAAGGGAAAGAAGAGAGAGGAGAGAGAGAAGAAAAAAAAAAAAAAAAAAATTCGGGCAGAAAGAAGAAAGAAGAAAGAGACAGAAGAGAGAGGAGAAAGAAAAGAGAAAAAAAAAAAAAAAAAATTTAATTTTGGGTTTTGGGTTGGGTTCGGGTTGAGCCCGAGCCCAACCCGAATTGTCTAAGTTTTGACAAAATTCAATCCGAGAATGAACTCGATTTGTGAATTGTGTATCTAAATTTCAAAATTTTTAAATTGGGGTTGGGCTGGGCTGGGCTAACCCGCCCAACTTGCATCCCTACCTATCATACACGGCCAAGTGATCATATTTTTCGTCTAAGACCAAGTTTTGAATTATCTTGTTTAACATTGTTGTTGTTGGTGTGTGCATTTTCTTAGGGCGCGTGGATATACTATTATATTTAATTCATTATTCATGATCGTGATGTGAGTGAACAAGTGGAGAAGATTCCTTCGGATTCTTGAGGCGGTGAGATGTCATGCACCATTAAGGCTTTAGAGTTTGCAATAAAAATAGTTAAAAAATAAGAGACGATGGTGGATTGGAGTCATGTTCATCATTTTTTATCGATTCAAAATTTCGACTGAAAGGCAGGAATAATTGTTTTTATTCAATTATTGATATAATTATAAAATCTAAAGATAACATTCAGTTACACTTTTTATAGTATGCAAAATTTAATTTGCATACAACTATTTTGCAAAATTGTACAAGGTGCCTTAAATTGTCCTTTTTAGCGTTTACTGTACAACAAGACATTTTATTCAGTGACATAACTGATTGAGTATTCAAGCACTCTGAAGAAGGAGTATCTGTGTTGGAGTTAAAAAATAAAAAATAAATACACTTAGCCCTCCTTTGGTACATATGTATGAAATGGAATAAAATATCTATTTCAACCATTCTCTTGTTTAATATAAAATTTAAAGTTTGAATGATTATTTTCTCGAAATGAAAATTCATTGTTCATCTAGAGCCTGAACCGATGAAATATGGTTAATCTATTATCAAGTTAAACTTAAGAAAATCAAATTTATAACAAATTATTTCGTTCAAGATCGCCTTTCGCCACCACTACCATCACCTTCCACCTCCACTATTTAGAATAGTGATTATTCTTTCATTCTTATGTTATTTTATATTTGTAACCAAATAATATAATATTCCATTCATATTATATTCCATTCATGTGTATCAAACAAGTCAATAATACATTTGGAGATAATAAATATATATATATATATATTACTACCTAATATTTATTTATGTTTCCATCTTTATTTTTTATTATTCTCTAATTATTTTTGCTCCTTAGATCAATATTGTTGAAACTAACTTGGACTCGTGCAATGATATGGACGGATAGTACTATTGTTCTTACAAGTTCATGTACTACTTTTTTTATTTGTGTCAGCCCAGCCCAATTGAATTTATAGTATTTCTATATATAAAAAAAGAGTTATAAAATTTACAAAGGCCAAATCTTAAATATAAATTATATGAGCAAGTCCACAAATCATGGACATACCCAATCACAAAAGAAATCATAATAAAATATAATAAGGCATAGCCCAGCAAACCAGACATATTGTTAGTCCATAAAAGAAGACCTAAACTCTTCGTGTGTAAAACACTAAGGTATAGGTGGATGGATATCATGGATTATTATTGTTAATCTAGTGAAAAATTGATTTTTTTTTTTTTGTTAAAAATAATAATAATAATAAATAAATAAATAAATTGTTGATGACTTGATGGTTTCTTGTTAAATTGGGCAATTTACTATATAATAGATTAATAACTAGTCAGGGTGGAACACATATGTCTTACTTTCTAATGTGAATTTATTGATAAAGAATATATATATCTTGCATTCTTGCAAGTGTTTGTTTTAATACTTGTATGAAACATACTTTTAGTAAATTTTTTTATTGTGAAAACACGTTAGAGTTTGAAAATATAAATGTGTTAGAAGATTATGAATTATTAGGTTTAATTGAATGCATGATGCATAAAAAATTTGTATTTAGAATATGGATAACACACTAAGCTATCATGAGTTTAATCATTTTTAGCTCTCCCTGTTTTGTAATTATGGCTCTTGACCTTTAATATGAATGCACACAATCATAATCATCCACAGGCTCCTCTCGTCCAGAATTACAGGACTTTCATTTAAAACCATGAAATAAAATCCAGTATGGTTAAAAGTAATTCATATATAATAATTGTTTTAAAAATTCACAAGGTAATCTTAAGAGGGGGGGGGGGGGGGGGGGGGGGTTAATTAACAACAAATGAGAAGAGTACTTAAGAAAATTAAAATGAAAAGGATAGTGTTTGTTTTGGAGGAAATTTGATGTAATCGCCGGTGATAATCTTTTTGAAAGGGAGCACATTGATAATTAATACGTGATCGAAAATTGAGTTTAAAAATATATTTTCAAATGATATATTTTTTTATAATAATTTAAAAATTGTCTAGAAAATTGAACCAAACAAACCTTCTCTCTCAGTGTTAAATGTTACGTTCGCTGGGCCTGTCCGGAGTCCAATCTGGAAACCCAAAGGGGTGTCCGTTTTCAGTTAGGGATGGGAACTAGAAAGTAATACATGGGCCTATAGGACAATTAGGGCTAGGTTGGGCCCATCACCAATAGCAGATATGGGCCTGGCAGCGCCCGAATTTTCTTCTCTCCTGTGAGTCCCATTTCCATTTTGTCATCTCTGTCAAATAGAAGCCTAATGAATACACATATACATACAGTTGTGTGTGTGTGTGCCGAAATATAGACTCGAGTGAATCTACCTGAATTGAGAAAAGCAGCGAATTTTACATTAATATCAACAATTCAAAATCACAATTACTTGCAAATCATTTTATTGATTGTTACTTCCTCAACACACGCATTTATAGAATTCTAATTCTCAAATTGATTGGAGTAGAGACCTCTCTCCATTCAGTTTACGCTTTGATCTTCGAAACAAAACCCTAATTTACAGGATGCCTCAAGTCAAGATCATCGCGAAGAACTTCATGGACATGGTCGCCTCACTGCCTGCGATGAAGCTCGACAACCTATACAAGAACGCCTTTATTTGCGAAGCTATTCTCAGGTTTCCTCTCTCTCTCTCTCGTTTGTCGATGCAGCCTTTTGTAAGTTACTGAATGATCATATTATCGCTATTTTTTGAATGTCTAGCATGAGAATGTGATGGTTTGAACATTATTTTGATCGGGTTTGGTTGCTGGGAAAGTGGAGGAAAAGAAACAAAAGCTGAATTTTCATATAGTTGTTTTTGGATAAGTTGACTGGAATTTTCGTTATTTTGGGTACTATATGAGTAATGGTGTAGTTTGAAATTGCTTGTGTTACTATAACAAGCAAAGGAATCGAGAAATAAAACTTACCTCATGTGCTTGCTTAAATTGTAATAAACATCATTGACAGTATGATATCAAACTTTTTTTACAGTATTCATTATGTTCTAATCTTGGTGGGCTGCAATTAAGAATTCCTCTAGAGTTTAATGAACAAAGTAGGATATTTAAGTAATTAATGATTCATTACTCAAGATTGGCAATTATACTTTAATTTGTGGGTTTCTCGTGCTTAGGTCTTTGCCACCATTAGCCAAAAAGTATGTTTTGCAATTACTGTACATAGATGTACCAGTAACAGCCAATTCAATGGAAGAGTGGGTGCTTGCAGACGGATTCTCAAAGCATAAAGTAGCCATTGATAGATTGATTCAATTGAGAGTATTGGCTGAAACTGTTGACAGGTATGCACAGCATCCTTGCTTGTTTTTGTGGTAGTCTTAAATTTTGGTAGGCGGTCTGTACACTCTTGCTTATCAAATGACACATTTTCTATGAACTACCAACCATTATGTAAAAACCCAGGATAATACACCTATACAACGATGAGTTCAAATACTTGCTACTTATGATATGTATTGCTATAATTTGGATGGAAACATGATTACATAGAATATATGTGTATGCATGCATTATGAGCAATAGGAATTCAAATAAAGTAGAGTTCTACTTGCCTGTTTGATTATCTCTCTCTCTCTCTCTCTCTCTCTCTCTCTCTCTCTCTATCTATATGTGTGTGTGTGTGTGTATATTTGGGTTTTTACACATTAGATGGTATGGACACATACACTGAAGACCTATAGATGCGCCAGTACAATAGGTAGATTAGTTTGCATAGAAGGTGAGAGGCAAAGAGGGTGACCAAAATTATCATGGGATGAAATTATTAGAAATCATTTAAAAAAACTAAATATACGGAGTGAGGTGACTTAGTAAGAGAAAAGAATAGAGAAAAATATATGTATGTGGCCGACCCAATTTAAGATGATGATGATTTGGTACCCAAAAAAAAAAAAGAGAGAAATGAAAAAGATGATGTTGAAGCAAGATGGAACATTATTTTTTAATCTGATTGAGCATAAAGGAAATAAACATGAAATGGAGAGTGTATTGCACGGTATGACCATGCTCTTGAATAGTTACTAAAAATGTTCACGTGGAAGGTTAAAACTGTGCCCTCTTCTTATTCATTCGTTTTTGAACTGAAGCATAAAACTTCATTTTTCTTCTTATCCATTAAACTTTTCCGTCTACCAAACCAGAGATAACATGTATGCTCTCCTTTTCCTCCCCTAACCAAACATGGCATTAATAGCATAGAATGGATGCTTTGAAAGTTTGAATCTTGTAATAACATTATTATTTTTTACTATTTGAATTTGACCCTGTATTGTTTTGCCTACCTATTAGCTGAAGTTCTTATTTTACTGGCAGGAAAAAAGAAACCACTTACAGACTAAATCCAACATTTCAGGCTAACCTCCAGAAGCAATTGGTACATGGGTAAGCTTGAGATACATGTGTGGTTTTTATTTTTTATTTTTATATAATAACTGCTATATGCTTTTGATGTGTTTGTTCATTCTTACTCCCTTTTATTACACTCTTTTTTTTTTTTTTCTTTTTTTTTGATTAAGTGGTTTGCTTTTTCTTTTTATTTTTACACAGTTGGCTGTAACTTTATATTGAATATCCTTTTTTCCTTTTTACTGTATTTATTTCCTTGAGTTCATTGTTAATGTATATCAACCACTCGAGTTAGTGAGATGTGACTTGCAGTATACTTGAGCCAAGTTCCCACATGTAAGCTTTTGTGTGTGTTCTTCTGTCTACATTTTATCTTTGACTTGAATAAACCTGAAATCATTATCCTGCTCAGCATATGTTTGACTTATTATAGTTTTAAAGATGTCTTACCCTCATAGGTGGTGTTTTACTTGAATGAATACATGGATGACCTTTGAATTGGATGCTGCAGTGGAGTTTTGCCAAGGGAATCGATGCCTTCAAATATCACAGTGAGGCTCCCTAGTTTGGAGGATCTAGAGGCTTACGCAATTGAACAATGGGAGGTGTTGTGAACTCTATCTATACTTTTCTATTCCGTGTCTCATTTGTGGATGAGTATTCAAGGATAGGTTGGCTAGTTCCTACTTGTCATGACAATATGTCTACAATGACAAGGTGTACTTGGTTTATACAACTGGTCATTTTCAGTTTATGATGTTTTGGTCTCTTTAATGACTTGCAATTTTGATGAACCAGTGTTTCTTGCTGCACCTTATAAATTCCACCCTAGCTGAAAGGACGACAAATTTCAGCTCTTCTATGATGAAAGTTTTCCAGCGAGGCCTTTTGAGTCAAAGGTGTTTTTACTCTCAATATGTTTATCACATCTTTCTTGCAAATTTTCCAAGCCTCACTTTTTATTTGTGTACTCTAGAGAAAGAGGATATAGTATCACATGTATAGTTTTATGTTTGTATTTGTGCCTTTTCTGCAGAGACAAAGAGACCCCACGATTAACTGAGAGTGGTTTTCAGTTCTTGGTATGAATTACCTTAACTGTGTCCTGATTGCAGTTGTTATGAAATGTCCTACTAGAAACTGTACTGATCTTTCTCAATAACAGCTGATGGATACAAATGCACAGCTTTGGTACATCATCAGGGAATATATCACCAATGCTGAGGTGTGTATTCTGGAAGTCCAAAAAATGTGCAATGCATTCTGTTGTTTCTATCCAAAGCAAAACAAAAGAATTAGCAGCTTGCTACTTGTCAATGATATTATTTCCTTTTATCCCTTATCATTGAATCAATATTTTTTTCCCCAACTGCATCTGTTGTTTCTATCCAAGGGGAGGTAAATTAGCAGCTTAATATTTGTCAGCAATATGGTTTCATTTTGTAGGTACGTTTCTCTAGTTAGTGCTTTAATTATGATATTCACTATCTATTTTGTATTTCTCATTTTGGTGTAGGAGCGAGGTGTCGAGTCAGCAGATTTGATATCATTCCTGCTGGAGCTTAGTTTCCATGTCACTGGGGAGGTATTAGATTCACATTGTTTATTCATTATTGGTATCAATTGCCTTGTTAAAAGCGCTTGTGAAGTATTTTATTTGTTGTAAAACTGTGTGCTAGATGCTGTTGTACTTTGTTGGCTCATAATAACCTCCTGAAAATTAAGCATCCATTTGATGAATATAATTTTGCGACACAGTGTTTGACTTTCTCGAGGTATAAAACTTTTTTTTGCAAGGCAGTTTCTGAAAAATGGTTCTGGTGCTGGGTTTTCATGTGTAGGCATACAATATGAACACTTTGACTGATTTTCAGCGAAATGCAATCAAGGACCTTGCAGACCTGGGACTAGTCAAGCTCCAGCAGGTAAAGCGTCTACTATTTTAATTATGTAGGACCTGCTTGGTTTAGTTTTCTAGAAGCAGTTTTCAAGAACTCAGAAAAATGGAACACTGTAGAGAACTATAAAGACAATTATCTTTAAAGAGCTCTTTTTTTAACTGAGCTTTCATAAACCACTTTTCAGAAATCAACCAAGCAGGTTTTTTTACAGTTTTCTGATTTCAGTTCTCTGAAAATAGATAACTGTTCTAAAAATAACTGAACAGTTCTCAGAAAGCAGAGAACTGCCTTTTATAGTTCTCTAAAAACAGTTTTCTGTTTTCTGAGTTCTTGGGAACTGTTTTTAAAGAACAGAACCAAGCAGGCCTGTAATGTTTCATTATTTTGCCTTTCACACGTGAAGTGTTTCTTTACTACTATTCCTTTAAATTTGTACTTGTCCAGGGTAGGAAAGAGAGTTGGTTCATCCCCACAAAATTAGTTACCAATCTCTCAATCAGCCTATCGGATTCCTCGTCAAGGAAACAGGTATCTCTTGGGATTTAACTTATCATGAAACTACAATGGATTTGATTATGTTAATATTCTTGATTTTTCTGTTTTTCTTGGAAGTACTTGCACTTGAAAGAGATTCAAAGAACTTAAATCGCCCCTTATATGGTTAATCAGTTTTTATTTTGGCAAACTTACTGCTTGATAGAAGTCATTGTTTATCAACTAGGTCAGATACATTATTAACTAACTAATGTGTTCATGGCCCTACTTTAAGCTTCAGTATTGCTCAGAATACTGAAGGCTGCAGCATAGCTTGGTTTCTGTGATGTACCTTGGTAGCTGCTGATGAACTGTAATGTGTGAAAACAGTATAAAAGTTCTGATGAAACAAGTTTTGAAAAATGAACTGGATGTCCATTAAAATATTGAAAAGTTATTCTTGTAATTTTAAACGTTAATTCACTAAAATACCAAATTACATGTTAGGATGGTAGATTGGTAGAGTACATTAAAAATTTGAAAAGTTCCTCTTGTAATTTTAAATATTAATTCACTAAAATACCAAATTATATGTTAGGATGGTAGATTGGTAGAGTAAATTAAAAAATACACTTCATAGCGTATCATATGGCCAAAAAGTTTGTTCTCTATGGTTGATTACATTATTGCCATTAGAATGAGATATAAAAATAGGGTTGAGATGACACCAGCTCATCTTTATGATATAAGGTCGTTAAGTTTTGTGTTGGAAAGATGGTTTTTTTGGTATACTTAGCATTTAGTTGAACTTATTTTTGTTTAGTGGTTTAGCATTTTGGAGGTATACTTGTTGATGTGCAAGCAAGAAGAGGAGCTTTCACTATGGTTTGTTAGAGGGATTTATATTCATCTTAACAGTTTTGTTGGATTTGTCGCTGGATTCTTGTTGGCATCTATATTCTTCTCTTCTGCTGTATACTAACCTACTAACCACCCCCACCCCCCACAACCCCACCACCCCCCCACCCCCCCCCCCCCCCCTCCCGCGCCCACCCTAAATCCCCAGTTGATGTCTCAATCTTGAGACAGATTTCCCTTCTATATTCTTCTTGTCTGCTGTCCTCCCCACAATCACCAGTGTTGTTCTTATCAGGTGTTGGGGTGGGGGGGGGAGGTATATTTTAACAGCTCAGAGATGTCTTTCCAGACAAAGTGTTCTGCTTTTTGCAAGGAAATTTCATCTCTCTGGAATAAGAAATTGAGTGATTTGCGTTTGTTTGGTTCAGATTATCTCTCTTGGTTTTCTGTCTATTTTGCCATGGTCAGTATGGTGATGCCAAAGTGGGACATAAGAATTAATCTGCCTTATTTGTGGGGCACATGTAGTGGTGCAGGAGGCAACATAATTTCTTACAGCAGGGAGATGTTTTAGCCAAAATTTTCTATTGCATAACCATTTGACATGTTAATATGTTTTCTAACAGCTCTGACTTATCCAAAAAAAAAAAAAAACAACAGCTCTGAAGAATGTCATCGAATGAATCATGTCTATTAGTCGGAATTATTTGTTTTTGCTTAAGGACCATGTCCATTTTCTTAACCGGTGCAGTCTTTGGCCATCATTGTACATGGACAACCCATCTTTTCTTAACCTCCAGTGGTGACTGGTGACTTTAAATGGATATGATTTTATATTTCGTAATGCATTTGAAAAGATATAAAAGAAAAATAAAAAGAAACATATGGAGTCTAGTGGCAAAACTACTGACCTTTTCTTTTTCTGCCCCCCATCCCCCTTCAGGGATTTGTCGTTGTGGAAACAAACTTTAGGTTGTATGCCTATTCAACATCCAAATTACATTGTGAGATCTTGCGCCTCTTCTCCAGGTATTGCACCAATTTGTTTGATAGATAGTTTGTGTGCTTTAAGTAAAAGTTATCTTCCATCATGAAAAATGTATAGCTATTGCAATAGTACTTTGCCTGTTAATAGGAGTGTTCAAAAGTCATGATATATTTTATATTGATTGCTATAAATTATTTTATCCATTTTGATGGAAACTTTCATAAATGATACGGAATGAGTAATGCTATTGAGGAAACTTATAGAAGAAATCCACTCTGAAATGATTAAAAAGATATCCAGTCTGTAAAACTTTCTTTTCATTCTTAGCCAGAAGTTTGCTTATAAACATTTCCGGACCTTGCAGGAATGCCACATTTATGCAAAATTATAGTGCACTTTTTGGAACCTTTCTTGTTTTTCTACAAAGCTACTAACATTGTTCGGAATTCATGTAACCAACCCGAAATAGTTGTACTTTAAGAATTTTTGGTAGAAAGGATTTTCGGCCTACTTGTTCAGAGTATTAGGATCCAACTTCCAGGACATATTAGTAAAGAGCTAAAACTATCCAAATTCGCGATTTCATAGAAATCTTTTTTTATTTTTTATTCATTCGAATTTACTTTAATTGTTTAGCAATGCTTCTCATCATGCTTCATCATTAGATACTTGCAAATAAACATTGTCACTTGCTTGCTTGGCTTGAGAAAGACATTGTTTTATAACTTCTCATTCATCTCTGAACAGAATAATGGTGAAAATGCAGGATAGAATATCAGCTTCCAAACCTCATTGTTGGTGCTATAACAAAGGAAAGTTTGTATAGTGCTTTCGAAAATGGCATTATGGCAGAGCAGGTAAACATCAATTTCAAGTTGGTCCATAATATCTTCTTATACTTCTTAAAGTATCTTCACAGTTCATTCGCCTGATAAAGTCTATCTCTCAACAATTATGACATGGGTTTCTTAATTTTGCTGCCTAGGTAGTCTAGTTAGTAAATTTGCCAACAACGTGTGAATTCTTTGCTTTTTATTTGTTAAACATACACAACTTTCCCTCTAGTTTGTTCCACTCAATCGCTCCTTAACCTTTTTCACCCTCACCTTCCTTATTATTTCAGTCTTTTATATTATTGAAATGAAAATATAAGAGAAAAATAGTATACGTGTGATTGATTTTTTAGTCACAAACTTTTAAACAAAAAGTATGTACCATATTTTACTAACTATACGCGTACTCTCTATAATAGTAAAATACTGTGGAAAAATACGTGGTCGTAAATGTAGGAAATATATATATATATATATATATATATATTTTTTTTTTTTTTTTTTTGCTTAAAAACCTTAAAAATTTTGGCATAAAAAAAAAATTCGTCATTAAAAGTCCGAGCCCACATATACTATCTTTCTTCTCTTATGCCTTGTATATTTTCATTTCAATTTGTATTTTTTTACTATTCATTCCAATAATATAAAAAAATATAAATAATAAGGAAGTATGGAGTGTATATACATTTCTAGAATCAACTTTGCTGAATTTACTAACTACGCTAGGTAGTATGCGTATGCGCTATTCTCTCTAAGCATAAAAACAACTAAATCAGTCTGTTCGGTCCATCTAATCCGTTTAATCAATATTGAGCTATAACTTATAATTAGTGGCATGAAGTTTTTAGAGGGGTCAAAAGTTCATTTTGGTTTCTTCTCTTGTTTGAAGAGACCGGAAATTTTCAATTAGAGTTCTAGAGGGCTCCAAACTAATACTATGATTTTAACTTCTGTTTTTTTTTTTTTTTTTTTTTCTTTTTTCTTTATGATACAAGTTGAAGAAGATTTATCATGAGGGTGCTGTCATTGAATGAAGCCTTTTTAACCATTGAATTGAGAGGCTATCCTCACAATTTTGCGCTCGAGGTTAGTGAAAACACCATCATTGTATCTTTTCTTATCCTTAAAATAACATGAAAAATGAAAAAAAAAAAAAAAAAAAAAAAAAAAAAAAAAAAAATACAAACTAAAAATTAGGAAATACAATCTAAATCCCGGGGAAGAAAAATAGAGAGAAGCACACAGCATGCCAAACACCAAGAATCCCTTATTTTTCTCTCTTGAGTTATATTGTTGTGAATAATAAATATAAGTGGAGAGAGAAATTAAACAAGAACACAAAGGTATTACATGGTTTAGCCTTTAGGGCCTACATTCACGACACAAAGAGGCCAAAGGGCTTACATCATTGTTATAATATTCTCTCTTAATCTTTCTGTACAATGATCACCTCTATTTATAGTTAAGAATACGAACATGTGATAAATATGATATAGGAAAGATTCCCAAAATCATCTCATGATTCACTCATATCAATATTCTATCAAGGAGTGATTTAAGGGCTTAAATCACTCTTATAATGATATTCTCCAAACATAACATCTTCCAACACTCTTCCTCAAGTTGGAGCATGTATGGAAATAGCTCCCAGGTTGCATATCAAATCATGAAACGGATTTTTTTCCACAATAAAACTGCTGGAGACATGGCAAAGGCGAAGAACAATGATACTGAACACACCAGTAGCCCAATCAAGTCACAAATAGTACTGAACACATTTTGAAAGCGAACAACAATGCTACAGAACACATCGGCAGCCCAAACAAGTCACAAATAGCACCAACAAACCCTTAGCGCATTTCAGACGCAAAGGGAATACCCCAAAATAGGGGTCCGAACCTAGGTAGAGATCCTCCCTACACTGTCGCACAGACCAAGCGACTACCACAGGGTTTTTCAGTAACTAGGCAGTCGTAACAAGAGCGAAGAGAGAAATTAGGCTTTGTATAATTATGTAAATAATAAAATTTAAGTGAAGAGAGAAATTAAACAAGAAAAAACACAAAGATATTACTGGTTCAACCACTAGGTCCTACATCCACGGCACAAAGAACCCAAAGGGTTAACATCATTATTGTAATATTCTCTCTTAATCTTTTTATACAATGACTACTTCTATTTAATAGGTGTGAGAATACAAACAAGTGATAATTATGATATAGCTTATAGGAACGATTCCTAAAATCACTACCATGACTCACTCGTATCAATATTATGTGAAGTGATTTTAGGGCTTAAATCACTCCTATAATGATATTCTCCAAACATAACATCTTCCAACATATATAACGGATTACTTTTTTACACAAAATTTGGTTTGTCTAAATAAGAATAAAAAGATCCAAATAAAAGTTCTCTATTGACTTTGAAGGGGCTGCATGGAAAAGTGTGTACTACTGTCTTTCTTCCTTCTCGCCTTACAAAGTGTGCCATTGGTAATGATTTGCCTTTTTCGGTGATTGCTAATCTAACTGACACCCTAGTCATAATGCCACCCACGGCTTTTTTTCCAATTCCATTCCACGACTATATGGCGATTCATCTCAGCTGCTCCTTTCTGGAAGCTTGCAATGGAGTATTTTGATTCTGAAGTTAAATCTGAAAAAGAAAAAGAAAAATAAGAAAAATTATTTGTTTCTTTTCTCTAGAAGTCATTTTCCTCTTCAAAATTTTGAATTGTGGATTTGCAGATAATTTCTTTTCTTCAGCAGAATGCACATCCCCGAGTTGCAGAGAGAGTACCCTCTGTACCAGAAAATGTCACTGATCAGGTTTTGAAAAAATTTCTTTATTGTTTCTCAAATGTGTTTAACTAAACTGAATACTTTTGCTTCCTTCTTTTGGTTCAATTATGATACTTGTTGTCTCCATCATAAGTAAATTCTGTCTGCTCGTTGGTCTGTCATCAAGTTCTTGGAATAGATTATATCCTTTTGTCAAATGATAACGATTTCCGAGTGACTCACATGCAATGTTTCAAGAACATGCATGCATGTGTGTGTGTGTGTGTGTGTGTGTGTGTATTATTATTTTTTTTTTTCTTGTGACAGATAAGGTTGTGGGAATCAGATCTGAACAGGGTTGAGATGACACCAGCTCATCTTTATGATGAATTCCCTTCGAGGGTAACAATCAAAAACATCTTTACCATGATGTTATTTATTGTGTATTTTGTCAATTCCTTATTATCTTATGAATTTGTTCCCTTATCTTGCAGGATGTCTTTGAGGCTGCTTGTGACTTTGCTCGGGAATATGGCGGCGTTTTATGGGAGGATTCAAAAAGGATGCGCTTGGTAGTGAAGGCAGAGATACACATGCATATGCGAGAATTTCTGCGTCGCCAAAAGTAATAGCATCGAAATTGAGTTCTGGAGAGGATATTTTTGAATGGGAATTAGATACCTAAAAAGCGTAGATTTTGTCAATAGTACCAAAAGAATTGGAAAAAGAACATGAAACATGTTATACATGCATTAGCAAGTTTCTATGGTTTGACCAAGTCAGTCTAGTGAATCCTTTTACTTGAATGCTCACAATTCACAATGCATCTTGGTATCATTATGAAGTGATTCGCCCATCTGTGTTTGGGTGTCTTTTGGAAGAGGTAGTCCAACTACTTCTCTTATTCAGTGCCATTGGCTACCAAACATATTAGCCTCATTCAGTCCGCATTTTATAGCAGCAGTAGAGGAATTATGTAGCCCTGGGGATTATTTTAGACAATCTCGCAGTTTAAGCTCATATGATGAGCTTCGTGTGATGCCTGTATGATATTGTTTGGTTTGTGAAGTACTTATTTATTTTGGTAAGAAGAATCAATCTATCTTGAACTCTCGAATGATTAGCAAACTCTGAATGTCATTAGTACAAATCCAATAGGCAACAACAAAATAAAAGCGACCGACATATGGATCTGATTGGCACGGTGATTAGAAATTTTGAAGGAGTGCGAGCATACCCACAGCCACAGTGGCCTTCAGTTTGTGTGGCCATCGTAAATGAAATAATTTCTCAAATGGTTGGAGCTGAATGAAGAATTTGTTAGAAGGCCTTTGTGTTGTCAGGTCATTTCTTGTCCCTCCCAAAGGAGTTTGAATTGATCCCTTGGCTTGTCATCATCGACTTTATAGCAAGTGTAATAATACCATAAAGTTAAAATTCATCATGTCTTCTCACCTAGTGTGGGTCCTCTTGGGATGGAAATGATTTCAGAAAAACTAGAAATGTTTTTGTTTTTGCTAAATTATTCTGCTAATGAAAATTGAATGTTGACAGTACTAGAAATTTTAAAAGGTAAAATTAAGTTTTGGGGAAAAAAAAAAAAAAAGAAAAAATTTGAAATAATGTTGCTGCCCAGGATCGAACTGGAGACCTTCAGTGTGTAAGACTGACGTGATAACCACTACACCACAGCAACATTTGTTGTTTTATGGAGTAATATGAATTTAGTTAACTGAATAATATAAATGTTTCCCAAACTTGTAAGCATAAATCACACAGCTCAAACAAAGGCTTTAATAGTCAGTGGCCATTCCAAAGCATTGTACTATATACGACACCCCAAAAATAAAATTGAACAATAAACAAACCTTGAATCCAATATGGCTAAACCCTTGATCATGTCATGTTAGTAATTTTTTTTTTCAGTTTTGTGAGCAAAGGGATGCTATCATTGTTTTACTTTCTAAAATGTGCCCCCATCACTATTTGCAGACTTGACAATTAAACCAACAACAAAAAAACAAACAAACACAATTTCTCGGAAATTTCCTTTGCTTCCACTCACTCATTAAAGTTTTTATTTATAATTCAATTTGTGGAGACAACTTGAAAGAAAAATGGAAAATGGTTAAGAAATCTTACTTGTATAATTATATCTAGTCATGCTTTGATCAATGTAAAACTGGCATCTTGAGATGGTGAGAGTTATGAAAAGTTGCATTCAGTCTTCCTTAAAACTAATGAATTCGATTATAGCAATCCTTGGGATTGTAATGATTCTATATAGTTTGTGTATGATTAAAGTTTGGCAGAAAGATGCTGAGGGGTCATCAGTTGATCATCACAATTCTACTTTTCCCTGGTAAAAGCTCTTTCTCCAACTTGTGCTACTTCATTAACACACGCACAAACACAAACACACACACACTACCACTTTTAAGCTGTCATTAAACAAAATTAGTAGCATAGGCTATTTTTGTTGAATATTTAAAGAAATTGTCTTTTTGGTTGAATATTTTTTAAAGTTCTCTCACTTTTGGTACTAGGTAATTGAATTTTTATTTTCTTTTTTCTGGGAAACAATGCAGGTTTATACATGCTTTTCTTGGCATTGGCATCAGCTTGTGTGCAAGTACATGCCTTGGTCATTTTGCTGCAGATACTGCAAATGCATATTACCTCTCTTGTGTATCCTTTCTATTGAGCTTTTGCTTCACCTTTCCCTCTTTCTCTAAGGCATCACCTGGGACTCAAAATCAGGAAGAAAGGAAAGGAAATGAAATTATAGAGAATTTCGTTTTCTATTGTTTGGTTGTGTTGGAAAAACTGTGAAAAAGAAGAGATCATAATAAGAGTGTACTTCATTTATCTTGGCTGACCTTAATTTAGCATCAGTACATGCTTATCATCTTCTCGCTTCTCCTAATCGAGACTGCAATTGTATCAGATGTATTTATAAATTCTGACTGGGACAAGGCATGCATTCCTCACAGTTTTCCTCTTTCTTCCCAATTTCTCTCTTCATTTTCGCATCAAATGTCATTACTTCGTTACCATCATAACTCACTGTGGTGCTTTCTAGGACTTGCCTGATGATCCATCAGGAAGGTTTGACAATTTCAAAGATTTTGTGAAGTCCAACATCGACGTTTGTGTATGGATTGGGTTGTTGATTCTTGTAGCACAGGTACTACGTTCATGTGTCATGTACTCGTGTTCATGCTATGAGACTGCATAGCTGCTTTTCAACTAATCTATAAAGCTTTTCTATACGCGTGTCGGTGCAGGGATTTTCAATCTTGTTCGCCCTGGTTCTAAGAACTATCCAAGAAGATGAGGTAACCAGCCATGAATTCACTCCATCAAGGCTTCCACTTCTGCAGCATCCTGTCTGAACAACTTCTGAATGTTAACGTCTCCAAGAATGAAGCCCAGAAGACCATTATTGAATCAAATAGTATTTTTGTTGATTTTTCATTATTATTACTAATTCGTAGTTCTATGTCAATGCGTTACTCAGCATATATCCTGGAGATTAGAGATATAACTGGTGTTTGGAGAGACCGACCTCAGAATAATCATTTATGAGAAAATCTGGTAAAGTAATGTTCATATATTTAATGCCATAAGAAAAAATCTGGATATGCAGTTTAACAGTTTGAACTTTGAATCAGTTGGGTGACTCAACTCAAGGCAAAAGAAGCCTTGGAAAGTTTTGAAAATAATTTGAGGAAAGAGGATTGAGTATGAAACAGTTGAATCCAAGCACAGGAAGAGGGAACTTGATCTACCATTTTGAGAATTGTGTTTTCATGTTTGTGTAAATCCGAAAGATTAAGAAAAACTGTAAAACATGTTTTTGTTTTCATTCTAATCCACAAAAGCACATTTTCTTAGAAAAGCAAGTAAAGATGCGCAGAACAGAATTGTCAAACAATAGGCATAGAGAAAGAGAAACTGAGTTTTAAAAGATGAGACATAAATTGGTAGAAGAACATCTTTCCATTTCACATGTCCCAGCAACTTAAATCAGATGAGAAAAATCATGGAAACGAATGAATTAACAACTCACTTCTTAGTCTAAAAACTACAGCATATAAAACCACCTCTCAAGAACTCTACAAATAATGACAACTGAGAAACAAATAGGTAGTGGTATATCACAGTATCTTCACTAAAACTAGAAGGAAGAGGGAAAGGGGAAAAGAATAATAATATGATTATACCTATTCAGATTTCTGGGTGGCCTTTGTGGACAACATTCTCTTCATCCGGCTATAGGGCCCAACTGTACGTTCCATAATATACATGTAAATTACTTGGCTCCAAGAATTATACGACTCTAAATCCTCATAATACTCTGGTGCAATCTCCTTCACCTTGTGAAGCTTACTTCCTGAAATCCTTGGAAAATCATGATGCTCATTGTGGTAACCTACGCTCCATGTCATAAGATTTAAGGGACCGTAGTAAGAATATGTCTCTTGGTCTGTCTTAAAGACATAATGTTCGGAGATAAAATGACCAGCCATTGGGTGCATCCCACCCCCAACAAATGTGGAAAGGATCAGATAGCCAAAAGATTTCCATCCCCAAAAATAAACCATGGCAGCATCGAGGCCCAGTTGAATGACCAAATTGATGAACTCCCATATGCCAGGGGGTTTTGGTTTCAGAAACAGAGGCCTGAGAGCATAGAAGAAAAGTTGCAAGAGTACCCATATGATTTTTGTGACGACATTTGTCACAACATGGGCTTCAGCGAGGCTCGGGATATCCATGTCTACACCATCCACTCCTTGGAAGCGATGATGCTCAAGGTGGTATTTTTGGAAGGTCACAGACATGGGAACACCAATGGGGAGGTTAGCAAAAATCCCTAGCCAACGGTTGTAGACTGGAGTAGAGAAGGCGAGGTTGTGACTGAGCTCATGTATGGCTAAGAAGAGGTTGTGGTTGAGAAAAGAGCCAAAGAAGTAGGCCACCGTCAATATCTTCAGCCAGCCTGCATTTTGGAGGAAAGTAGCAGTCCACAGCTGAAGCAAAACAACCAGAGTAATCTGCAACACCAGTGTTACGAGGATATCAACAAAAAATATCACACCTAGTAGACATAATCACTTGAGTTCAAATATGTTATACGGCAATAATGGTATATTAGGCTCATGATTTTTAAATCAATGAACAACCATGACAAACATTGGGAACTAAAAAAAGTTTCGAAGAAGTTTATCCTCCAAAAAGAAAAAAAAAACAAAAAAAAAAAAAATTCATGTTCTTGTATCTTTTCATAAACTCTTAACTTCAAATATTAAGGGTCATTCATCATTGCTTTGTGCAACCACAAAGCTTGGACTGACAAGCGTAAGGACAAGAATTCGAGTTTGAGAGAGCCACTTTGCATAATCTCTCTCTCCCACCACCCCATGTAGGTTGGACATACACCAGGAAATAAGCTTTTGTGGATTTAAATTTTTCAACGATATGTTAAAACAAAGTTTCATTATAATAACTACATGTCAAGGATTTATTTTTACTTTTTGGTTCTTTAGGTAATCACTTCCCATAAACCTCACATTTCCAGCCGCCATCGATATTTATGCAACAATGGAATGGAAAATTTTCTTTCTACCAACTTAAGGGGAAAAATCAATATAAAATTAGCAAAATCATTGAATGCACATTTATTTTAAAAAATAAAATAAAATCTCAGCAAAAGATGAACCAAATCAGAGTGGCAATAAAAGCATATAATAGATAACAACATATTCATCCTAATCTCCCTTTCAAAAAAAAAAAAATTCATCCTATTCTCGCAAAAAACTTAATTTATCTTTCTCAAATAAGTATGGGCATTGTATCAACACCCACGCAATGCAAATTTCCCATAGCCAATAGATTCTCCCAATTTTATTGAATATTTCTCGAAAATATCACAGTTGACTTTTTTTATTTAATGAAGAGCAAGAATTTGCCATTCAGTTAGTAGTAAGTCACTCGAGCTTTCAAATGTGCTTCAATGTAATTAGAAGCATATTACTATGGCAATACATCCATGGTCAAACTAACAAATGATATAATTATCAATGTTATTACTGGATTATGAACAATACCATTACCAGTGCAAAGAAAAGAAAAAAATAAATACTCAAGGCATATTATGTATCAGGAAAAGCCACTCCATATCTCAAATTATGCATCAAGTAAATCAAAATCTGAAAAATAACTATATTTCGAAATGAAAAAAATAATCACTTTTTTCATGGTAATGCTATGGCTGTAATAGCCCCTTCCGGATGATGGATTTATTTTGCGGAATCACAATGTGTACATTCAATTCAACAAGATTTCCTAACTTAACCCTTCGGAAAATAATACATTCAATAGACACGAAGGAATAACAGTGAGATTTAGGAATACATTTGCAGGGAAAAAAAAAAAGTGTGTATATTAGATGCAAATCGTTTGCAGGCCCCTAAACAATTTTAAACCAAAATAGATGCACCAGATTCAAAGTTTAGTAAAAGCCATAGACGGAGCTTCTCGTGGAATGGAAGAGAGAGGTTATGAACATCATCACACAATAGGAAAAATTACGAAATCCGTCAATGATTAACCAAAAAGGTATTAAATTGATTACCTATATTTGTATGAACAAAGTAACTGCTCAATTCCATTCCCAGATAAATAACAAACAGACAATGTTTTGAAAACTAAGATTGAAACAGACCAAATAAAGATGGAAACTTTATGGTGATAGATAGTCAATCACGCACATTTTGCAGATTCAAAACCCAAATAGGGACGACATCAATCCAAGCAAATATAACTAAACATACATACATACATATATATATATATAGATGTACCTTGAGGAAAGCCCAGGGATCAGGGCCGAAGAGGTGTTTGATCTGAGGGTAGCGAGAGAGGATCTGTCGGCGACGAGAAGCGTGGGGCTCATCTGTGTAGGACCAGAAGAAGTCCGTCGCCATCACTCCCTCTCTCTCTTCCCCTCCCATCTCCTATGCTCTTCTTCTTCCTCCGCGCCTGTCTGTCTACACTCCCCCTTTCTCTCTCACTATATATACGAATGTATAATATAGGAGACTATGAATAGAGTATATCCTATTTTTGAAAATTTCTTCTCATTTATTGTGAATTTGAATTATATACCCATTCCTTATCTGCTTGTAGAAAATAGTTGGTAAAGAAATTCAAAATTGCTAAAACGTAGACACCTTGTTATAAAGGGACCACGTTCATGATCTCTCTGTTCACTCACGGATGTGGTAGGTTTTACAGCTGGGATGGGGGGACGAGACTCAAATTTCAATCTCCCCGCTCCCCTCTTTGCACGTGCTTTCTTTGTTCGAATGAACAGCACGTCCAAAATTAAATAGGGTCAAGTTGTACGAGTATTGAGACAGATGGAAATGTTGTTTGTAATGGAGGGTCAGGTCATGTGGATTCACATGCATCATGTTTGGATGATATGACTGCTATTGCGCAATGGCACCTGTCATCATAAATAAAATAAAATAAAGAATTTCCGAATAAAATAAAGAATTTCTCGGATGACAGATTGACGAGTGTGTTCAGACTATGGAGTGGCTTCAATTATTATTTTTATCTCTGCTATCTGTATTCATTCTCTAACAATGTTGTGTGTGTTACAAAGTTGCTGCTGCTCCATCAAGTCTTGAGAATTTCCCTCGAACACTTTTGCCCATAAGAAAGGAGAGCTTAAAAAAACAAATAAATAAAATATTTGTATACAAATTTATGACTATAACTGTAATTTGTACCACATTTCCTTAACCAACAAAAAAGAGAAGAATATCCCTTCAATTTTCCAACCTATTTATTTTATTTGCCACCGCATGTAAAATCCTTCATCAAAATAAAATGACTATGCATACATTGCTTTATTAATCAAATCATCTGCTGGAGTCATTGGGTACTAGCCCCACGCACAATGTTAATACGAGGACTAGAAATAGGGAAACTTTTTCCTCTGCTTTTGATTATTCTAGGCCGAAAATCCATACCAGAAACTATACCTGAAATTCAAATCTCAAATCTCAAATCTCTTCACGATCACGCTCTATTTGATCGAAAAAAATCACGACCACTAATATGTTTAGATTATACAGTGTTTCTGCAAAGAAAAGCTGCACCAAATACGCGATTTACATCAAACTAACAAAGGGGGCAAGCCCAATTAATAGAAACTGTCTTGAACTGTGAATATATCTGGATGTAGAATATAACTTTGTCCAAACAGAGTTAAAACTAAATTAATGTCATCTGTACTTGTACATTACATGAACGGGAAAGAAAAAGAAAACCACCAACCAACTTTTATTCAAGCTGTACAAGCATTTACAGTTTCACTAAATACAATTTATAGACCCCTTCTAATTAGACTATCTCAGCTTCAACCCCCTGCCCACAGTACCTCAGGCCGGGTTGTTCTATTAAAAAGCAGAACAAAACACTGCATTTTTTTTTTTCACCTAAATTGACCGAATGAATGTCGGTCCTTATGTAAATAAAAGGAACATACAAAATATTAATATGAAGGCTGCATTTTAGATGTCAGGTTCGTAGCCAACTGCCTACCTTATATGAGAATCATAGGTGTCAAAAAGCGTATCGGGAACAATAAGAGGCAGCTTATCTATGTACATGAAAAGCCTTCTAAGATTCTCCCGTGTTAGTGTCGCCGTGTCAACTACATCCCTGCTGTCCATGAATACCCAAAGATCCCCAGAATTTACTCTCTTCAGACTGTCACGGCAAAAGGGGCATGACTGTGATCTTGTTCTCCTGCAACAGTATATAGCAACAAATTTTTAGTCTCGTTTATACCATTATATAGATGAATTGATAAATTTCGCAATCTTAGCCCCAAGAACATTTAGAAGGATTAATGGACTAAATAAAAGCAAATGACTTCCAGAACAGAAACCATCAAGTACCACATGTTCAATCACCATAAAATTTGTTCCATCCAACCAGCATGCTTTCATGAAGTAATGTACATGACATGGGGAACAGAAACTCGAGTCTTAAAGAGGAAAAAGCATCGGATTTCTAGTATTCTCTCATCTCTGGCATAAAATCAACCATGGATATTTTGTCATCACCTTTTGGTAGTCATAAAAGATCAATCAGCCAATATGGTGGATCAAACAAACAAAAACAAATAGAAATTTCCTTGTTTATTTAATACGAATATTACCTAAGAAATTCGTTTTAAACATCATCCAATTTCAGCAATTATCATTTTTTAGACCAAATTCAACAAGAATCCACAAGTTAACATCATCCAACCATATTAGATTCACATATAAAAATGATGTAATGGCTTTGTGCTTCCTTTGAGGCTGCCGCGTAATGCCCCTGATTGTCAAATTAATACCCAGAAAGGGGAAAAAAAGAAAAAGGACAAAAATAATCTCCATTTTAAAAGAGAGAAACCCCACTATCATAGCTCTACATCAACCCTGCTTAAAAACTTAGATCTGTATGAGTCCATGCAACCATACATAGTTGACTTTGAAAAAAGTATAGGGCCATCAGAGTCCATCATAGTAGCAGTTGGCTTTGCTTAATCATTTTATAGCCTTTTCAAATCAACCATAGTCCAATCAATCAAAATTTGCCAATAAATTATCTCTGATAAATGTAAAAGCTCTCTCCCCAACATCCGACATCATCTATAATCTACTTTCAATTAGATTAAAAATAATAACGAGAGGATGTCACTGAGGAGGAGGAGAATAATTCGGCATTCATGTAGAGGGAAAATAGAAAATATATAAATAACAAACATGTACTGTACCTTTCCTCTAGAGGAAAGCTAACCAGAAAATGACAGACATTTAGTAGTCTGCTCAAACATATAGAACCTACTCGAACAAGAAAAGTTGGTTGTCCTCCAAAACTATTTATAGCAAATGAAGATAAACTCTCAATAATCAAGGTCCGTCTCCCAGTTCTCTTAAGTAAATCACACGAAACTCCATATGTCATCTCAGGTCATTGTGACTCTGTCTTACCCCTTGAGAAATAAAAAACAGTATTATCACATAAAACAACAGTACCCAAACATCTCGTAGGGAACTGCTGTATTACCATTTCTTCTAATAAAGAAACTAAATCTACCCCATGTAATGTAAATTAACTTAAAGACCAGTAGTAAATATGTGAAAACAGGGATTTTCATATATCATACTGTATTAGGAAATCTTACTTCCAAAAACAATTACATAAATTAATTAATTTGTTTCCGAGAAATACAAGTCTACAGAGCAATTATAGAGCAAAAGCAGTGTAAATATAGAAAACACGTACATAGAGAGACCTAAATTAATGATCCTTTATTGCAATGCACTAACATATTCTTTTTTCTTTCTACAATCTTGAATTGTATCCTCCCGTATTGAGATTTCTGGTTTCATCTTTTTATGGTTCCAGATAGTTCTAATAGTTCAAGTTAGGTTGCTCAACAGTATCATTAAAAACTTTGATTAATTTTAAAAGAAACCAATTGATTTAATCTCAACGTGGTCCCAATTCTAAATTTTACAGGAAAAATAACAAAACTTCCAAGGTGTAGTACATTAACTTTATCATTGTGTTACCCTTGAATCAAATAGAGGAAAATTCTCAACCAGCTTGCGCAATAATAGTATCTGTGGGTTACCCTTTCTTTAGCACATGCAACACACCAACAGCGAGATTTTCTCAAATTGTTAAAATAAGGGTTGTAAGGTGATTGGCAAGCCAAAGGATAAAGCTTAAATAATTTTATACTATCCCCTACCAATCTTAATGTGTGACCATTGCTATCCTCACAAGAAAGAAAGGAAAAAAAAACTCATACTCTGCCTTCATCAAAGGGTAATTTTTTTTTTTTGGGAGGTAGCAACACACGCACGCACCACATTGCCCCGTGTGGGGCTTGACCCGCTCACCTCCCCTTTGAAAAGAGGGAGGGATAGTAATCCAAAAAGAAAGAACAAACAAAAGAACACAAACAAAACAGTTCAGAATGACATCTACTCAGTGATAGTAATCCAAAAAGAAAGGAAGAAGGGAGAGAAGAAAGAGGGAGGGAGGGAGGAGGGAGAGAGAGTACCACTCGCGGTAGCATTTCAAGCACATGGCGTGGTTACAGTTTGGCAAAACAATCTTGCTGTTCATCTCCATGCAGATTCCACATTCTTCTTCTCTTTCAAGGTCTAGATCTGAATATTGCTTGTGTTCTTCTTCATCTCTTCTTCTGTACCTTTCCATGCATACTGCCTTCTGTTTTTTATCTTCTGTATCAGTAACTCCCCTTTGAAGTTGCAGTAAAGAGGGATAAATAACCGCTGCCCGCAGAAAGTTCATATATCAGAAGGAAAATGGAGACAAAAGGCAGCAGCAAAATTATTTCATATGCAAAAACTTACCATAGAATTCTCTAATACTTGCTTTTCTTTCATGGGTAGACATGCTTGTGCTGCCATCAACATAGACCTATAGCACGAGGCAGCAGAATCAGCAAAATTTATGATTGGCAAACATTTCATAAAGCTAGAAATCCATCCGTACAAACAAGTTTCAACCTTGTAAATCAGGATTCTCAACAGTCCAAGGGCACCAGCAAGGTGGCAGTCTGTCCATTGAACTAGAAAAAGGAACAAGTGTGCAGCTGGACTGTATGACATTCTCATCTGAAGGCAGGCACCATCATATTCCCTAGAAAAATCAGACGCCCTGCACCACACATTGCAGTATAAGAATTCCACAAAACTTTAATGGAAAAGATAGACCAGTTTAGCTAGTTAATCAAGTCAGTTATAGAAAATAAAATGATTAGAGACAAATTTTGGTAAAAACAAAAGAGACTATACAAGCCTAGACTATCTGCTTATGTAGGAAAAGCCATGCCTCATTCCATAGATAATAGTTCCTCTACCCAAAAAGGAATAAAAAAGCACATATAGAGCATCAGAGCATGAAGGAGTGTAGAAACTTAACATCTCTATTCTCTTTCTCCCTAAAACTGGATCTCTTAACAACTTCAGGTTTTTGTCAATCAGAGAGTTGATGAAACAACTACTCGAAAGTTACACAGTACAATATTCTATGATTCTTCAAATACACTGGAAATTCTAAATGAATGCAAAAATCATCCTTAATTTCAGTTGTCTACAAATGGACTGGTCTAGACTCTGGCATTACAAAAAGAAACTAAAACTACAAAACATGACAGTGCATTGAAGGGTAACATGCAGATTAGGGCCACGGGCCACCGATTAACTTCAAATGGCATATTCATTTGTTAGCATCCAAACCAGCGGGTCAGGCCACGGCCAGTAGACACATTCCTTGTAGCTACACTGACCATATAATGACTTTCCACTGCAAACCAAGCTGGCTGATGATGAACCACATGTGGGGGCCGTCTTGATTTGAGTAATTTATTTGAGTAATTTGAAATGTCTCTGCTGACTTGTTACAACACGTATATATCACCCCACTTCACACAAGCGACTAAAAAAACCTTGGCTCCTAGTGCTTCAAGATTTCAAATAAATTTTAAGAAAAATATCAGATGGAACAGGTTGGCCATTTAAACTCGGGTGAACAAAGTTTATCATGAATAAAATTATAACTCCCTTTCAAGACAATCATTTCAAATATTTCAGGGAATGACCTTAGAAAGTAGAAAGACATGCTTCAATGTGGCTTGAGCAACATAATCACCAGAATCATTTCCACAACTGAAGTAGAACAACCACACCTTACACATTATCCAGCAAGGAGGCAATAATAGAATAATCACAACCACACGCTATAGACACAAAATAGATAATTAAGCTCATCATCGTCTTTTCTCTTCTCCTAAAAGAGTAATACTAGTAATAATAATAATTGAGACATTAACCAGAAAGCCTATCAACAACATTAAAAACACCATCTTTATCTTGAAGACAACCAGTGAATAAACAAACTTATAAATACCACATTTTACGACCTCATTCCAAATCAAATTAAATTACAACCTCGGTGGTAGAAAAAAAAAAAGAAAGACTTACCAAAGCCCCTGATATTTTAAATTGAAGCCTAAAAGAGAGTTTCAGAGAGAAATCAAACCCTCTTATATCAGAAAATTAAGTAAACTAATTCTAAGAATATCAGAACGACGACTAGAATTTCAACCCTTGAAATTTCTATTCCCATTTCAACACAATTTGAAGAAGAAATTAAACAAACAAACAACTCTCTCGAGCAAAAAATCTTTTATAGGCATATATAAACAACGTAGAAAGAGAGAGAAACTGTTTCACTTACAGTGTATTGGCGTGCTGAATATCGGCTTCAAGAACTTTGAGAGAATCCTTGAAAGACTTCCGCATGGAGGCTACGTACATCTCCTCTTCCAAAACAAAATTTTCCTCAGAAACAAATACAGAGCATCGATAGATCGTCTCTCTCGCTCGCTCCCTATCCTCCTCCCCAAACCCCCAACACTTTCTCTCTCTAAAACTTTACCTTCTTCTCTCTCTCTTGATAATTTAGGTTCTGCGTCCTTCTATACTCTTCTTCAAGGAGAAGACGAAGGACTGAGAGGGTGTCTCTGTCGATGCCACGTGTACAGTAGGTGGTGTTACGGAGGCGTCAAACTATATTAAAATATACTATATTAATTAATATATATATATATATATATATATATGTCGATGATAGCATCAAAATAAATGAATACATGACCCTGAGTATGTGAGAGTGTGTGACGCTCTTATCCACTCTCTACTTTTGTCTGCCACTTTTTCATCCATATTCGCTTGCTTTTGCTCCACGCACAGTTGATTGTTATGCCTCATCTCTTACCCTTCTTATTTCCTCTATTTTCAAAACTGCCCAACTTCTTTCTTAATTGCTATTTGTAGATCCAATTAATTATTGAATTAATTATAAAAAATTAAATTATTCGAGACAGTTAGACTCATTATAAGTTATAATAATTGGAAATTTCTTCTCTTTTTAAGGGCGGGCCGAAAAGTGATGTTTGAGTTAAAAATAAAAACTCAAATGCCATATTGTCCAAAACTAAACAAATAATATAACTTCTATATGTGGGAAAAACTTAATTGTAATTGTAAAAATTTATCAAAGTTCTAATCAATTAAGGAAATTAAATTAAAAAGAGATGAGAGCAATTAATTGTGATCCAAAAACTAAACTAAACAATAATATAACTTCTATATGTGTGGTAAAACTTCATTGTAGTTGCAAAAATTTAAAATTCAAAAGAGATGAGAGCAATTAAAAATAAAAAAATAATAATAATTTACTAAAAAAAATTAATTTGTTGTCAAGTTGGTAATGGATTATTCAAAAAATTCATAACAAATAGAAGGTACCATAAATCGAATTGAAAAGAAATAAGATAAATTAAAACTTAAAGAAATTTTCTAATTACTAAAAAAAAATTAATTTGTTATCAAGTTGGTAATTAATTACAAAAATTCTCATAATAGAGAAAAATAATTGAAAAAATTAAAAATTAACGCAGTTAACAGTCTAACAGGAACCAACTTTTACTTATTATTCTCTTTTGAAACCCTAGAAGCGAAACAACAACAATTCTAGAAGCAAAACAGATAAATTAATTCAAAATAAGAGAAATTAAAAATTAAATTTTGTTAATTGAAAAAAATTAAATGTGTTAATTGAACAAATTCATAATAGAGAAAAGGTTACTAATCAATTATTGAAAAAAAAAAAAAAAAATCAAATCAAAACATAGAAAATGAATTGAAAAAATTCACAAGAGAGTAAAAATCCTTAACTTTTGTTGAAATATATAAATATTTTTATATAATTGTGGAGCAAAATCCTTATCCAATTATGGTGATCCATCAATTTCCTACCAATTATTAATATTAATATACTTGTGGAGTAAAATCCTACACCAATCACGGTACCTTATTTGATTGGTGTATAATTTTACTCTACAATTATATAGAAATATTTATAATTAGTAGGAAATTGACCAATTATATAGAAATATTTATAATTGGTAGGAAATTGATCGGATCACCATGGTGGAGGATTTTGCTCCACAATTATATAGAAATATTTATAATTGGTAGAAAATTGAATGGAACCAAATTAATTGCATGGAATAGAAAAGGTAGCAGAAACCAAATTAAAAATCTTAAGTTTGCGTTTACAATTATCTCTTAATTATTCTTTCTCCTAATTCTTCTTCAAATCAAAAGTGAAATTTAATTGAAAAAAATCACAAGAGATAAATAACCGACTGAATATTTTATTTTTTAAAATTGTAACTTGGAATAAAAAAGGTAACAGGAACCAAATTAAAAATCTTAACTTTGCACTTACATTTTTCTCTTGATTCTTCTTATACAACAACTTTAGAAGCAAAACAGTATACATTGAATTGAAAATAAGAGACATTAAAAATTAAAAGAAAAGACACTAGAAGCAAAACAAAGATTCATTTTATACAATCTTTTTCTAATTAGATTTTATTTAGTAGTTTAATTTTTTAATACTATTTATAGTAGTTAAAATTAAAAAGAAAATCTAAAAAATTGAATTACAAAATAAATTAATTTATGTACCATCCTTTTATTGAATCTTTTTCAAACTAGATTTCTTCAGTAGTTTGATTTTTTTATATTATATATATATATATATATATATATATATAATTGAGTAAAAATTAGATTTTATTCAGACTAAATATTCCTTTCATTGAATCTTTTTTAATTAGATTTTCTTTAGTAGTTTAAATTTTTAATATTATATATTTATAGTAGTTAAAATTGAAAGGGAAATTAAAAAAATCTAATTACAAAATAAATTAATATATGTACTAAAACACAATTTTGTACTGAAACTCTTTGTAATTTTAATAATGGTATAGATTTAGATATAAATATATAATTTTCAAACTAATAAAAGATAGAAAATTCATTTAGAATTAATTAGTTTTTTATTATGAATGAAAGTTGATTTTTATTTTATTTTTTTATAAATTTATAGCATTTGAAAGTTGAATTAACCGAAATGAAAAGGTGCACCACAGCTCAGAGAAGAGAGCAGGATATATAATTTTCAAACTAATAAAAGATAGAAAATTCATTTAGAATGTAATTAGTTTTTTTTATTTTACATGAAAGTAAAAAAAAATTATAGCATTTGAAAGTTGAATTTTCCGAAAGGAAAAGGTACACTACAGCTAAGAGAAGAGCAGGTGGGTCGGTTTGGGGGTAGGTGGACATTATTTAAATTTGATTGTCATCTGAAAATTACTGCACCTGGACGGCTCTTTATTGAGAAATGCCAAACCAAGTCCAAAAGGTACCTCATCTTCTTTTTGTTTAGAGCGCGTGGTATCTCCTACACGATCCGCTCCTAAAAATCTTATCAATTGCGAAAATGCCACTGTCGTAATCCAACAATGCAGATCCTTTCGGGCCAATAAGTCCCTCCCGTCAACTTTCATGTCCAACGCAGAAGGATAATTTCGGAATATATTTTGGCAATAAAATATTTTTTTCTTAATAAAAGAATTTCAAATTTGGAGGCGCGAAAGTATAAAAAAAACACCCTTATGCTCAGTTTGGTAGGCAAATTGTACGGTGGCAATGGAGCATAGTGAGCTAAATTCTACTACGTTTCGTTAAAAAAATTTTCATACTAACTTCAATTTACTCCGAAATGAATTTATAATTTTTTTTTTCTCAATTAATTCATTTATAATTAGTATACCATACTTGTTCCTATCCTAACAAACAAAGTACCGACTCTGACTCACATATTCCTTCTAATAAAAGTGGTATAATCAGTACATATTTAATTGAGGCGGGACGGTTTCATCAGTAAATCTGACCCGCCCCACCCCAAGCCCGTTTAGAATTTTCAATTTTTTTATCATATTCGTCCCAAATAGATTTATGGAGCTACCAAATCCATCCCATTAGAGGCGAGGTGGGACGAAAACCCAACGAGTTGGAAGAAATTACCATTCCTAGCAAATTGGATGAAATATAGAAGAAAAAATATAAATGAGACATTTCTAGAGAAGAAATGTGTTATTCCATATTTTTTATTAGGTTGAATGGAAGAGAAAATAATTTGATGATACTGTTTGTTAGGAGAAGGAAGAAATAATGTTATTTATAAGGAAAGTTTTGTAATTTAAAAACTTTTACAAAAGTCTTGCCTTTTTTTCTTTGCGTCTTCCTTCCGTAGTGATAAAAATTTATGAAGGAGAATGGATGACTAATCCTTCTCTTTTCTCCCTGCCTTCTCTACCAAATGAAAAAAAGTTTGTTTCTTTCTTTTTATATTCCCTTTACCCAACTTCATTCATTCCTACTAAATAAAGCATTATACAGGGTGAAGTATAAAAACACCCTAAAATTTATATTTTGTGCAAATAGCACTCTTATCAATTTTTTTTTTTACATAAGTTTTTTAAGTTTTAAAAAATATGGCAAAAAAAGGCTTAATGTTTATGATCTGTCAGAAAATGAGCACATAACTATTTTAAGTTATAAAATTTCTAAAACATACTTTTGCTCTCCCAAAAATTGCCCTTAGTTTTTCACCTTTTTATTTTTATTTTTTATTCAATTACATAAGAGTTTCTTACAATTTCCAACAAGTCCCTTATTCACACTGTTCTATATGCATATTATACTAGTATTGAATGTCTGCGGCCCAATTTAGAATAAGATGAAAAAGAGTTTGTAAAAGTTGACCGTATCTGATCCATTCTAAACCCCTACGATAATGAAGTCTCCGGCACTGATTAACTCTTTGAAGACTTTTTAATGTGCATCATTAGAGTAATTCCAGAGTTAAAATAGGGCCATTCATCAAATTCAGAGACAATATGAGAATCATTAAAATTTAGAGAATAAGGTAATTGATGAATTTTTGGATTATATTAAATATGAATATGATATGACTGATTCACCAAAAATGAAAGTAAAATGATTGATAAGTCCACTAGCCTATATGTGATTCAATGCCTAGACCAATAGGAGAGTCACATGGTTACTAAATCTTGCTATATATGATTCGACACCTCGCTAGGGAAAAATTATTACATAATTTTTGATAATTATGAATTCGCATAAATAAAAATTAAAATAAAATTGATATATTTAGATATGTGTCAATTGTTGGTGATTGATGGAAACCATGAGTGCCATAAAAACTGTATCAAGCTATGTGTCATTAAGGTTATCCTAACCCATTTAATTTTCTGAACCATGCCTTGACCACCTAGCATTCAAGTCCCAAGGTCAACATTCAAAATATTCACACCCTATAAATTCCATGAATCATGTTTGACCACCTAGCAGTCCAGCACTAGCATCTAATCTATCACATGAATCTCTGAAGGTTTTTATTTGCTTTCCTTGTCAAAGAAGCGATGGGAGTACTCATAAACTTTTTCCTAAAAGTAAGAGCATGAATGATTACTCACAACTGGCACTACTAACAACTCTGAACTGGACCTGCAAAAATGGCTAGTGTTAGATTTGTAATAGCACAAGAATTGACCTAAATGTACAGCAGAGGGGGCATTTAGGTCAACAAAAAAATTATGAATGTACTGATAATTTTGGGAGTCAGGGAGTGCA